TATAATATATTTTTATAAATTAAAGAAGCCTTTTAACATTAAGGCCTTTATGCTGGACTAAGAAATTTTTACGCATGTTAAAGAGGAAAAAAAGCTTTAGTTTTTAGTTTGAATAATTACTGATTTATGATGGATAATCCCTGAAAAAAAATCACAACACAAAAACTAATTTCCAACATTATTTAGAAAAATTACATATATCACCAGTTGAGAGCCTCAAAATTTCTGTTATAATAATCCAAATTGAAGACATTTTTTCCCCCTGGTGTTTATGCTTCTCTTGAAATGTCATGCAAACATTTGATAATGAATCAAGCATATTGAGCTCTTCATTTCATTTGCAGCGTTAGGCTTTTGGGCAGATGAATCCTGATCATATGCTGTTTTTGGATTGACTTCTATTTTTAAGAATCAGAAATTAGTGAAAGATTATTTTCCATTATCTAATCATTTATTTAGCCCTAAGATAATGGAGGATTATTTCCAAACATGAATTCTTTGTCCTTTTTATGATTTAATATAACATGTTTCCAGAGTTAGTATTTTAAAGAAAACTTTTGTGATTTATAAAACATTTCTGATATGCCTTTTCTTCTGAGAAAAGCATAGCATAAACTTGTTATATTTTGATATAAACACTGTAAAAATAGGCATTTTTCTTCATTGGTTTAATTTAGTGATTCTCAAATGACATATTCATTTTTACTAAGCTTTATGTGAAAGCATCATCTTGCTGCTACTCAAGGTTGAGTTTCTCATGACTAGGGAAATAGATTAAACTTATTCTGGTGCAAGGCCCACATGTGTATTTCAATATGTTTCTTTGTTCCTTTTATCATCACCTGCGTAAAAGGAAAGTTAAGTCAATTTTTATTTCCCTGTCTTCTGATTTGGAGTCAGCTCACTAAGAATGTTTATGAATAATTCTGTTAGAAATGGTTTGATAATACTAATTTGAATAATGAAATATTGTGCAGAGCTTTACATATGGAAGTGCGGTGTGGGCAGAAACCTGTGCAATGGTGCGGTTGACTGTCCTTGTGATGTGATAGCAAAATCTCATGTTCTCTGTGTCTGTTTTCAGGGAGGAGAACACTGTTACTACCAGGGCCATATCCGAGGAAACCTTGCCTCCTTTGTTGCACTGTCAACATGCCACGGACTTCAGTAAGTGTCCAGATTATTTTGGTACTATGTACTCTTTCAATCACTTATTTTATTTTTAATGCACTGTAATTGAAATCCTTATTTTTGGTAGAGAAATAATTTTAAATCAGTGATGGATCTGATCATTTCTTCTTTGTGGTTTATAAACCAAGCAGATTTTAAAATGGGAGTTGCAGAAACCAGGGGCTTTGGAATTATAATATGTTACCTTATAGTGATGTTTGAAGTATTTTTCTAGTTTCATCCAATTTGAGACAGGAGTGGTTTGGGTAACTTTGGTCTCTGTTTCTGTGGATGGTTAGCCCCTGGATACCAGTTCTGCTACTCCTCCTTGATGTTAGTTTTTATATTTTTGTGAAATAATAGAAATTTCAATAGATGAAAACTCTTGACTTCTTGCACAAAGAAAAAAGACTGCAGGTTATCTCAAGTGTTTCAGTGTTCATATGTTTCAGCCCTTTTTTTTTTAATGCCAGGATCCCACGTAGCTGACAGCAAACTTGTGGGAGGGTCTGTCTGTTCTCAGAAATCTCCAAGGCTTGGAGTTCATCCTTCCTCGGGGCCTTGCTTTCTTTCTTATAAACTTCATTATCGAAGAATGTTTGCTGATGTTTAACGTGGGAATACGTCTACTTCCTCCATCCTGTAGATAATGGTGATACACAGGTGGCTGTCTCTCACTTGTTTTGTAACTCCTTACAAAGCTACTGTGTCATTTCTCAGTATTCTACTTAAGCGAAATCATTTCAGTTCCTCATTTGTTTTACTTTGGGGCTGGGGCAGGGTGGAGGGGGGTGGGAGGAGGCATAGAACAAGCCAGCACTTTAATTCAGTTTTGTTAAATTTTTGTTTGGCAACTTTAAAATACTTTTTCTGTCTGTTACTAAGTTAGATAAGTTAAAGGTGTGGCTTTTTCATGAAAGTAGCAGTTATCAAATGTCTGTTTTGTGGCAGCCACTAGGAATATTAAGGTGATTAGAACATGAACCCTGCTCCCAACAGCTCAGTCCAGTGGGGAAGCTAAATCTAGCTCAGCTTCCTACTATCGAATGTGATGGATATATATGTATTCTTCGAGAGAGAAAAAAGCTGAGAAAAATGTGAGCTGAGAGTGGGCACTGAAGAATAAAGTGGTACTTGAGGGCTCCAGAGAAATGTCACCTGAGGAAGGTGGAGTTGGCCCCAGAACAGAGTTTGATAGAATCTTCCAAGAATGGGGTTAGATTGAAGGACTTAAAGAAAATAAGGAAAGAGATCTAATGGGAAAGACCAGAAAATCTAGCTAGTTTGCCTAAATGGTACCTCTGGTTAGACTCTAGCAGTAGGTGCATGAGAGGCAGAAAGAAGAGAGTGTGAGGATCAGTTAAATAGCCAGGAAAAGGAGGTTATATGCCTGAGAGCATGGAAGACTTCTATTTGCTTATTATTTGTTCTAAAAGACTATTTCACTTATTTTAAATAAATTCTTTGAATAGAGACTTTTTAAAAAAAATTGAGTTAATATGTATAGTTCCCTGATTCCAATTTCTAAAGATCCTCTAATTTTTTCCCCAGATTTATTGAAATATAATAGATAATTAGTTGCTTATATTTACATTATAACTTTGCACAAGTCAATGAGTTTTTTTCAATTATAGTTGGCATACAATAATATATTAGTTTCAGTTGTACAGCATAGTGATTAGAGCTGAAGTGATCACCCCACTAGATCTAGTACCCCTCTTCTGCCTTACATATTTATTACAACATTGTTGACTATTTTCCTTATGCTACACTTTATGGCTCCATGACTCTTTTGTAACTATCCATTTGTAGTGCTTAATCCTTTTGCCCTTTTCCACCATCCCCTCCTATCTAATAGCCCTCAAAATATTCTCTGTATCTATGAGTTTGTTTCTGTTTTCATTGTTATTATTGTTTATTATGTGAAATTATGTAGGATTTGTATTTCTCTGACTTACTTTATGTAGTGCAATACCCTCTAAGACCATCCAGGCAATATCTTTTTTCATCCCCTTCCTTTTAGTCTGTGTGTGTCTTTTAATCTGAAGTGAGTCTCTTGTAGGCAACATATGTAGGGGTCTTGTGTTCTTATCCATTCAGCCACCCTATCCTTTGATTTGAGCACTTAATTCTTTTTCATTTAAGATACTCGTTGATATATATTTAGTTATTACCATTTTTTTGTTTATGATTTTGATACATGTTTTCTCTTCTTAAAGAAGTTCCTCCAACATTTTCTGTAATAGTGGGTTGGTGTTGATGAATTCCTTTAGCTTGTTTTTGTCTGGGAAGCTCTTTATCTGTCCTTCGACTCTAAGTGATAGCTTTGCTGAATAAGGTATTCTTGGTTGTAGATCCTGGGTTTTCATCACATCGAATATTTTGTGCTAAGCCCTTCTGTCCTGCATGGTTTCTTTTGAAAAATCAGCTGCCAGTTTTATAAGTCCTCCCATATAGGTAACTAACTGCATTTTAAGATTCTCTCTTTGTACTTAACCTTTGGCACTTTAATTACAATGTGTCTTGGTGTGGGCCGGTTTGGGCTCCTCTTTCTTGGGACTCTCTGAGCTTCCTGGGGTTGTATGCGTATTTCCCTCACCAGTTTAGGGAAGTTCCAAAATTATTTCAAATAGCTTTTCTATTTCTTGTTCTCCCTCTCATCTTTCAGGTACCCCTATTACACGGATGTTTTTACATTTATTTTTGTCCCAAAGACTCCTTAAATTATTATAATATTTTTGGCTTCTTTTTTCTTGCCATTCTGATTGAGTGACCTTGGCTTCCCCATCCTCTGTATTGGTAGTTTGATCCTCTTCTTCATCCACTCTGTTAATTCCCTCTGATACACTCTTCTTAGATAACGTATGCTTTATTTCTGACTGGTTCCCTTTTATAATTTCCATTTCCATTTTTATGTTTTTTATCTCTTTAAAGTTTTCACTGAGTTCATCTACACTTCACCTAAGTTCACTGAGCATCTTTATAACCAGTGTTTTGAACTCTGCATCTGTTAGATTGCTTGACTCCATTATTCCTGGATCTCTGTTCTGGTCTCTCATATGATTTCTGCTTCTTTGTCTTCCCATTTGGGCTGCCTTTCTGTATCTGTTTCTATGTACTAAGCAAAGCTCCTAAGTCTCTCAGTTTATTAACATGACTTTGTGCAGTAGGCGTCCAGAGGCACAGTCCTGAGAGAGGGGTTCAGCAACAGGCCAAGTTTAGCCCCAGCTTGTGTCCCTCCAGGGCCACCTGTTAAGATTCAGCAAGCAATCCACAGATGCTGTGCTTATAGTTGCCTCAAGAAACCACGCCAGAAACCGAGGTCAGCTGCCACCAGTGTGGGTCTTGGAGCTTACTCAGCAAGTTGCACTGGACTCACTGAGGACACAATTGGATGTGATTTGGGTGGGGCCGTGAGTTGGGGGAGATGGAGTTTCAGAGAATCTTCTGGGTGGAACGACCTCTGTTATCCAGTTAGTTGATGTCTCAGATATGGTGGCTCCTGGGTCTACATACTGGGATGGGGAAGGGCTCAACAGAGGAACAATGGATATTGCCAGCACTTCTGCCCAGGAGAAAGCTTTGCCTCCTGCCCTTTCTCCAAAAACCCAGCATCTCCCTGTAAGTTCCTGGTGCCCCCTTGGCAGCTGAACAGGCTCTGGTGCTCAGAGTGGATGAGTCCATCACTGCAAAAGTCCGCTTGTGGACACAGCCCCTTTAAGAGGCATCTGCAGCTGCTGCTGCCATAGCCTCTGTTATGGACTCGGACATGGCAACCTCGCATCCTTGCCCTGTCCTACCTCTTCCAGTTGCAGAGTGATTTCTTATTCCATCTTGTCCCCAGGCGACTCTGCTTGCTGCTTGCTCTGTGTTTCCATCATATCTTTGATGTGTTCGTAAGAGCAGATGAACAAAGCCTTTATCATCTATGCCATTTTCCCCAGTCTCCAGAAAGACATTTTTACAAGAGGACTCCATGCCTGATATCTGAGGGCCTTGGTTTTATTATCTGGAAAAAGAAACGTTGAAATCCCCTTTAGCAGTAACATCGTTATATCTGATCTCAAGATGTGCACAGCTGTCAGCTAGGAATAGTACTCTGGGCCTGTTGACATTTGTGACAGCAAATGTACATTATAGGAGAGTGATATAAAAACCAAGAGGCTTCCCCCCACCTCTCTTTTCCTTTTAAAATCTCAATCCAAAGTCACTTTGTAAGTAAGCATCTGGCCTAGTACTTATTCCAGATTGCCTCCCAGTTTTCCAAAATGACACAATATTGTGAGAATCAAAGAGAAGGTATTGCCTTCTCGGGGCTTTAATAGAGTGGAGAGTCTGAGACCGAAGGCTTGCTACTCACCCTACATAGTTGTCTGAAAGAGGATGGAAAAGAAACTTTAAGGAAATTTTAGTGACTAATCAGGAGTAGAACTCAGAGCCTGCTACCGTTGTTTTAACTAAGTAAAATATACCTTTAGAAATTCCTTCATTTAAAACTAAACAAAAATAAGCAGGAAACCCACTGCATGTCTGGGAAAACTGTCAGGATTGTATACAGGTGTGTTTAGGTGTTCTTAGACTTTTATAAGCATGTTAGATAAATTTATGCTAGTTTTTTTTTTGTTATTTATTATTACCTCTCATCTTGATTTTACCTTCTGAACAAAAATGACTGACAAATATTGTGTGTGTGTGTGGGGGTTATTTCCAAATATTAAATTTGTGTTGTCTCAATTGCAGTGATTTAGATTTGAGATATATAATTTCATTCATGACTCATCTTTTATTAATTACCAAGTATATTGAAACTTTTCATTTTTCTTGATTTACTGAACTCAGTTGAAGAATGTAAAGGGGAAAATAGTCAGATTCATGTTTTTTTGCATAAAGAACCTGCAAGTGTATGTTTTTTCAAATTTGATAGACTAATGGGTAATATTTTGGTCCTGGTATGCTCCATGTGACGACAAAAATCCTTCAACTGTGAACCTTAAAGAATGGAATCTGTTATAAGTCTATTGCCCTCTTGTGGCAATTTGTAAGAATGACCATTTCCTTTCAAAATCTGGTTATGCAGCCTTTCAAAATTTTAGTTCAATTGATTCAGTCCTAGTTGCAGGTTTCTATCAAGTATATTCTGTGTTATGGACTCAATATACTTATTGTAATTTATATAAATATAATATAAAGGTGTAAATCTTCAAACAAAGCAAATAAAACACATATGCCTTTTAATTGCTAAAGAATCAATAATGGCATATTGTCACATAGTGAACCAGAATCTTTTAGATATATATGGTGTCAGAATCTGCTTTCTTTACACTCAGTTACTAGTTAAACAAAACAATTTGCTTGCTACTTAATCAGTGTAATTATATGAACTTTGGTAAAGGGTAATGGTTTTATGCAATTTTCTTGGTGGGTCTGGCAAGTTCTCATTGGGCAGGAAGAACATTTACTGTCATATTTGGTCAACTGTTTTGAAAGGTTCACCCCACTGATTCCTTAGGTGTGTATCTTACAAACTGCATCTGTTTTATCTTTAAATTCCAAATGTAATGTCATCCAAATTCAGAAAGTGCAATTTTGGTTGAAAACCTTACAGATGTGAGAAAAGCAGTTCTAAGGGTATATGAATGTTGAGAACACATGGAAGATGTTAAGGCAAGAATGAAAGTATTTGGGTAGATGCAGAGCTGGAGGCCATTGTCATTATAGGTTAGAGAAACCAACAAATTTTACTAAGCCATCCATGAAAGACAATTACTGTTCCCTGTTTAAAAGCTTGGGTATCATGCAGTCGTTTCCACCTAACACTGGAAAATGACTGCAGAAGATCACAACTTCACCACACCCACCCCACAGATGTCTGAATGATATGACACATTCCTTCAGCATCGTGGAGATCTTGATCTCAGAAGAAAAATCATATTCTCCTAAAAGGAGTGGCCATCAGGATTTCTCTGAGTGGGAGTTGAAGCCATCTGTGGCTTAAAATGCCCTCAAGAGGATTTCTCAGTTGGCTGATAGTCATCTGCAGTCTAAGAGGTCCAAAACTGAACTCCAGATTTACGCCCTGCTTCCTGCATCCTGCTTCCGTGTGCCTACCCCAGTCTGCTCTTCCGCGGCTTTTTTCATCTTATTAAATGACAACTCCATTTTGCCAGTTGCTCCAGTCAAAACCTTGCAGTCCTCACTAACGTGACTCTTTCTGAATCCTCTATTTCAAATCTATTAACAAATCCCATTGGTTTTACTTTTGAAAAAATAGCCAGAACTTGACCAGCAATTCTTGCTATCTCCACCATTGCCACCGTGATCTAAGCTACCATCTCCTTTCACTTGGATTATTGCAATAATTACTCATTTCTATTCCTTGATATCTGAAAGATTATTGTAATATAGCCGTTGGAACAATTATTTTAAAATGTAAGGGGTATTGTATTTCCCCTCTGCTTAGAACCCTGCAGTGGCTCTTCATCTCTCAGAGTAAAAACCAAGGCCCTTCTGGTTCTCCTCCCTCATCCACTCTGCTCCAGCGACACTGCATCCCCCGTGTTTGTGGAACACGCCAAGATACTCTTACCTCAGGGCTCTATTCTGAAATGCTGTCTGCACAGATATCCTTTGGCTCATCCCATCACTTTTTTCAGGTCTTTGCTTAAATTCCGTCTTCTCTGTCAAGCCTTTCTCTGACCCTCTATATAAATCAACAGTCTTCTGTCTCTGGTACCTACAGCCAATCCTCTGGCACCATTTATTGCCCTTAACCTGTTTTATTTTCCTTCTTAGAATTTATCACCACCTCATATATGTTTAATTTTTTTTTTTATATGTATTTGTCCTTCCAAGAATGTACATCAGTATCACAAGGGCAGGAAAGCAGTCAGTTTTGTTCAGTACTGTATCCCTAGCACCTAGAGCAGTGCATTGTAGGTGCTCTATAAATGTCTGTTGAATGAATGAATGAATGCATGAATGAATGAAGATGGGTAGCTGATTGCAGATCTGCCTGGGCTCTATTTCTGCCTCTGCTGTCACTGGTTATATAATTTGGGCAAGTTGTCTCTTTGGGCTTCGGTTTCCTTACTTGTAAAATGTGGGTAGTCATTGTATCTTCCTCGTAAATTTGTGGAAGAGATTAAATGAGTGTAAAGTATTCAGCTCATGGTAAGTTGTTGAAATGTGTCAGTTCTTGTTACTCGAGCATCTTCCAGGTGTGTGATAGGTAGGACGTTCTCTGGATAGTCCCTGACAACCTGCATCAGAATCATCTGGGGTTTGTTTAAAATGTCTCAGCCTAGAAATCTGAAGAGGGCCCTGAAAGTTTAGCATTTTTACAATCGCTCCAGGTGACTATTTGCATATTAAAATTTTAGAATTATATATGGGATAGAAGAATAATGGACCACAATTAGGGGGTAATTCTGAGCCTCTGGTAAGGGTCTGGATGAGGGAATTCTGCTGCTTGTCAGGAATCAGAAGGAGGGGCCTTTTCTTCTCAGCAGTGTGTATTTGCATATTAAAATTTTAGAATTATATATGTGGGGTGTGGTCTTTGTGTGTGTGGTATGTCATATAGGGGTATGTGTGTATATGTGGGGTGTGTGTTGCGTAGTATGTGGTGTGTGTGTGTGGTGTGATAATGGTGATGGGTAGGACTGGGAAGTGGGTGTTGAGAAGTAAACGAGTCCTCTGCTGCTGATTTTAAAATGATTTTGTTCTGAGGCTGGAGTTGATAGCCATGCCTAATTATTTTCTCTTCCTTGGCAGTGGGATGTTCTATGATGGGAACCACACCTATCTCATTGAGCCAGAAGAAAATGACACCTCCCAAGTAAGTGCTTCTTCTTTTTGGTGCGGCAAATGTGAAAGTTGACGCTGGGAGCTTTTTCATCTTCCCTTTTCTCTCTGCTTTATTTTATTTTCATATTTTTAGGGTCAGAATAGTAATTATACATATGTTTTTACATTAAATATTGAATGTCAAAACCACAAGTGTCTTTTTTCTTTTTCTTTCTTTTTAGAAAATCTGTCACTTACTCCTCCTTTATGTTAGAAATACTTTCCTTCTAAAGTGTTTTTAAGCCTCCATTTCTATCTCCATTATAAGGCTGTGATCTGCCTTAGTCTGCTCAGGCTGCCATTACAAAATACTGGGTGGCTTAAACAACAGAATTGTATTTTCTCACAGTTCTGATGGCTGGAGGTCTAAGATCAAGGTGCCAGCAGGGTTGGTGTCTTGGCCGAGGGCTCTCTCCTTGGGTGGCAAACAACCGCCTTCTCGCTATGTCCTCACATGACAGAAAGAAAGAGAGTTGTGGTGTTTCTTCCTCTTCTTATAGGGGCATCAGCCCTATTGAATTAGGGCCCCATCCTTAGGACCTTATTTAACTATTATCATTTCTTCACAGGCCCCATCTTCAAATAGTCACATTGGGAATTAAGGCTTCAAAGTATGAATTCTGGGGGGACACAAACATTTATTCTATAACAGAACAAAACCACAGATATGTGATTTTTCCACTCCCCCTTTATTTTCTAGATTGGAGATTTTTTTCTGTTGCCATTGCTTTTAAAGCCCTGTGCTGATGAAGTTTAGAGAAATTTAGATTTTCTCAATTATTCCCTCACTTTAGTTGAAATGTTCACTTCCCACAAATTAGAAAAGGATTGAATTAATAGTATAGACTACAGATAAATATAATCCACTTCTAGTCTAGCTCTGTACACACAAATATTCTTCCTTGTATCATGGAACATTGATCCAACATTTAGGGAATTAATTTCATAAAACATACATTGTTTTGCCACCCATAATAAATCTTGTTTGGGAGACTATCTGTATTGTGTATTATTTTCTCGGTCCCCATTGCTTGCTGTTCTGTCATTTTGCTTTACCGTGTGATTTTTAAAAAGATAATATTGTGAGCTTGACTGTTTATGATATTTCTTATAATTTTAGTAATCGAATGAAGCCAGATGAAGTTATTTGAATGTTCATTAATATTTCTTAGATGAAATGTGGTTTTTTATCTGTTGTTTTTTACAGAACTTTGTGTTACACTTGAATTCTGGAGCAAGATCCATTTGGGCATCAGTCGTGCCAGTCATTATGCTCCCCAATACCAGAGAGTGTTAGCTCTGCAGTTTTTGCCTAGCGAAGAAGCTATCTGGCTCTCAAAGTGGGCAGGGATCTCTGGAAAGGAACCAGTCACAAAAAACATCAACGCATTTTCCCAGTTGTCTTACTTCTCCTTGGGAGAATAGGACCATTCATTTATTTTCCATTACTGCAGGCTCTAGCTTCTCTGTTCATGAACACTTTGCTTCTAATAGGATATCACTCTGGTGCCGGGAGAATACAGAAGTGAGTGGGAGAGGTTGAGCAATGGCTCATCATCTCTTTAAACCCAGGAGAATATAGTCAAGTTATGGTTCTTTTAAGGGTCTTAGCTTCTCCAACTGTGATTGCCTGAGGCTGGAGATATCTGGAAGCATGTGCTTAATCTCTGTTTGTGTTATTTCAGGAGGATTTCCATTTTCATTCGGTTTACAAATCCAGACTGTTTGAATTTCCATTGGCTGATCTTCCATCTGGTATGATCTTATAATGACTTAAAAAAAAAAAAAAAGACAACTTTAATAATTCACTTTAATGCTTTAGAGCTAATCTATATGTGGAATATCATTAGCCCATGACTGCTTCTAAAAATTTTAGAGAGAAAGTCAGGTGCCATCAAGAAGGGGAATAAAATGCTGACTGACCTCATGTTTATAGTGGATGAGTTTGGAAAGATATAGCTTGAGCTCGTTGAAGGAAAACTTTCAAAGGAAGAGCTATTATGTATTAACATCTTTATTATTATGTGCTATTTGTGAAATTAGTCTTTCCTCCTCATGTATAGTTATGGGGCCATCTATTAAAAGATGTTGATTTGAGAGTTGCCTTTAAATCTTCATGTGAGAGCAAGGATAGAGTTCTCATACTTTGGCTTTGTTAGTGGAGCAGTGATTATGCAAAGCGCTGTGCCAGGCTCATTTGTGTTCACCTTCTGAAGACAGGGCACGCTCTGAATATCTAGTGTGGAGATGCTGCCTCCCCTGTTTAGTGAGCCCTGACCATGGCCATAACATTACCATAAATTCTAAATTTTAGTCTCACTTTAATCTTTGCAGCAGTTTTGTGAGATTAGTATTATTATTTCCATTTTATAGATGAAGAAACAGAAACTAAGCAGTTTATCTTTTCCAGAGTCCCACAGCTAGTAAGAGAGTGTGTGGGGATTTGGATTATGGCACAGTGAAAAGGTTCGCTGGGAAAGAGGCACAAGGGGAAAAGGAAAAATTACTAGACTGAAAGCAAATCCTAGACTACTGCTTAGGAAAATGACTTAAAAGTTTACATTGTCCCATCAGAAAATGAAGTAAGTGTTTTCTAATGTTGCTTCTTCTCTGAAATAAATTTGTAACCCTTTGACCTTTTGCAGTTACTCTAGAGAGAAATAAAACCCGCCTCTTCTCTTCTGTTGCCAAAGGGATAGAAGGTCCTATTTTATAGAATTCACTATCTTGAAAAATCTGCAAATGAGCATGTAGATGCTTACTTTACACAGATGCTTTAGACTGTTCCTTCAATTCCTTATAGAACTTTTTATAATCCCTATTATGGAAAGAAAATAAAACATGATCAGCTGCCTGAGAATAAAGTTATAATCTAATAGGTAGTACTGGAAGCAGTGGACATTAATTAATATTTAAAGTAATAAAAACCTTTTCCCCAAGGACTTTATTGTTAGGCTTGCCATGATACAATCTTATAATTTTTTAAAAACTTTGTTTAGGGTTTCTTTCTAACAGAAGCTTTGAAAGTGACTTGGCAATTTTGCTGTTATTAAAAATGAGTTTTGAATATACTCTTTGAAAACTTAGATCTGTCTCATTTAGTTTCTGGTTTTCTTTTCATATTAGAAGCTGGCACTGTCAATTTTAAGAGTTTTATTTATCTTTCAAGGTGCTTAGATTTACTATGATAGCTTAAAAGAAAAGAAATAAAAATAAATGTCTGCAATTTTTGAGAAATAAGCTCAAAAGTAAGCTTATTTGTTTTTAGTTTCATATAGTGACACTGGGTTGTGGATTATCATCACCTTTGTCCTGCTATGCATTATATATTTCCCAGATATAGAATATGATCAGCTGTTCTCCACACTTGTTTGATGGTAGAACCTTTTGTTTTACATGACACATCTCTCAGGACTAGAGTCTTAAGAATACATTTTGAAAAAATGTATCCCTTAGCATTCAGTTTTTTAAAAATTACTACAAGAAATACATAAATCTATTTGATGAGTTTTGATGCATATGTACACCTTTAGTGAGATAGAGAGTTTTTTCATTACCCCGTAACTTCCTTCATGTCCCTTCCCAGTCAGTGCCTCCCACGTTTGCAATCCCCTTTCTGACATTTTTTTTTTTTTTGGTCATAGATTAGTTTAGCCTGTTGCAGATCTTCATACAAATGGACTCATGCATTATATCCAGCCTCTTTTGCTTAGCATATACCTATGAGATTTATGTTGTCAGGATAGCAGTATTTCATTCTTTTAAATTATTGAGTATGTTCTATTGTATGAATATACCACAATTTTTTATCCATTCACCTGTTTGGGTTGTTTCCAATTTTTGGCTATTATGAATAAAATAACTATGAAAGCTCTTGTAAAAATGTTTTTGTGGATACATGTTTACATTTCTTCTGTCAAATACCTAGGAGTGAAATAACTGGGTCATAAGGTAGGTATATATTTAACTGTATAACAGTGATCTCAAACGTTAGCATGCACTTGAATCACCTGGAAAAATTGTTAAGCACAGAGTGCTGGCCCCATCTTGGGAGTTTTTTCTTTTTTTAACCACTTTATTGAGGTATAATTGACATACAAAAAGCTATACATAATTAATGTATACAACTTGATGAGTTTGGAAAAAAATACACGTCTATGAAGTCATCACCATAATCTGTACCATAAACATATCCATCAACTCCAAAAGTTTCCTCCCATTCTCTATTTATTATTGTTATTAATTATAAGACACTTAACATAAGATCTTCACTCTTAGCAAAATTTTAAGTGTACCATATAGTGTAGTTAACTGCAAGAGGTAACTACAACTACTGCTGTACAGTAGATCCTTAGGACTTAATCATCTTGTACAGCTGAAACTTCATACACTTTGACTAATACCTTCCTACACACAACCCCCACCCCGCAGCCCCTGGCAGCCACCATTCCATTTTCTGCTTCTATGAGTTTGACTATTTTAGATTCCTCATTAAAGTGGTATCATATAGTATTTGTCCTTCTGTGTCTGGCTTATTTCACTTAACATAACATCCTCCAGGTTCATCCGTGTTGTCTTAAATGGTAGAATTTCCTTATTTTATAAGACTGAATAATATTCAATTGTATGTATAGACATTTTCTTTATCCATTGATCCATCAATGGACATTCAAGTTGCTTTTGTATCTTGGCTATGGCGAATAATGCTACAGTGAACAAGAGAGTACAGCTGTCTGTTTGAGATCCCGAGTTCAATTCCATTAACTACATACCTAGAAGTAGGATTGCTGGACCATATTTTAGTTCTATTTTTAATTTTTTGAGGAAACTCGATACTGTTTTCCATAGTGGCTACACCAATTTCTAGAGTTTTTGATACAGTACATCTTGGGTGGGTTATGAGAATTTACATTTTTAGAAAGTTCTCAGATAACGCAGATGCCACTAGTCCAGGCGTCATACTTTGAGAACTGTTGTATGAGAAATTGCCGAACCCTTTTCCAAAGTGGTTACACCATTTTCCACTCTCATCAGCACTACATGAGAATCCTAATTGCTCTACATTTTCACCAACATATGGTGTGTCATTCTTCAATGAAGGTCAGTAGTGGATATGAAGGTCAAGGTGGCTATTTAGAAGATTCCCAATAAAGAATGTGATGTTTTTATAGGAGAAATATGAGAAAAATTTTGATATAATTTAGAACAGAAATAATATGTGAGATTTTTTGAATTGTATTTATTCATGTTATGTGTATTTAGTATTATGAACACACATTCATTAATGTTTTCTATTATATCAAGTACCTTATGTATTATAAAATTGATAAATATTTATATAATTATATCTTATAATTAATTATTGGTAATTATAATTATTATAATTAATAATTAAAGTATAAGTATATAATTTATAGTAGGAAGAGTTAGTAAAACTTTGATTGCCTTGTATGAAAGAAACCTAGAAAATGCACCAAATTAAATTAAATTTATTTTTATTTCCTTTTAGAATTCCAGCAAGTAAACATCACTCCACCAAAATTTATTTTGAAGTCAAGACCAAAAAGGAGTAAACGGCAGGTATGTATTCACAGGTATAGGTCATGATGGTTTAAAAACACTTGGCAACTGTAAATCAGTTGAATCTACATTAAGTCTTTGTGAGAGGGTAAATATTAGTTCAGGCATTTGTCAGGGTGTGGTAAACAGTAAGGGTGATGGATCTGTAGGAGCAGTGGAGATGAGGCCCTATTATTTTATAAACTCATAAAGGACTCAAGCTAGTGGTGATAATATGGTTGGTTATTCATCATATAGATGGATTATGGGGCCCCGGCTGTGGCAATCAGATTCTTTCTACCATAGGCCTCTTTCCTTGCCTGGTATGCACCACATCATGGAATCTACTTATATGGTACATATCCTTCTATTTATCCTTTTAAGGATACCCCCTTAAGAATGAATCCATCAGGTTTTGAAGCCACAAAATGCTATTGTCACACTTGAGCTACTTCAGAGTCTGGAATATAAAATTAGGATGTACACTTTATGAATGTTCAGTAGTTCTTGAACTTAGTGATAATAACTATTTGTACAGTGGCTTTAAACCACATGAAGTAGGAACTATTATTCCTCTTTCACAGGAAAAGAAATGATGGCTGAAATGTGGAAATGACTTGTGCAGAATTATGGAGCTGGTAAATGGTTCAGACAAAATAAGAACTCTGGTTAGCAGAATTCAGTTCTCATCACCATTGTGGTGGTGGTTGGTGTGAGTGTGTGTGTGTGTGTGTGTGGCATGAAAAACACGGGATGAGAGAAATAGATCTCTAGTAAGATCAAACAGTTGAAGGGAACAGGTATTTTCTTTTTAAAATATATTTAATAAGTATGAAATAAAATATGTTTATAGATAGATTTCTAATGTGAATAATAATTACTAAATTTGAGTATTTACCATGTATCTGGCCCTGTTCTAAGAATTTTAATTGTATTAACAGTTAATCTTCTTAATCTTATGTGGAAGGTATTAGTATTATCCCCATTTTACAAGGACATTGAAGTATGAGAGGCTTAAATGACTTAAATAACTTGCTCATGGTTCCATTGGGTTATCCAGTGGGGGAGCTGGGATTCTGAATTAGGAATTCTGGTTTCAGAGAAGTTCTTATAACCACATATGCTTTATATACTGCCTCTCAGAAGCCCTTGTGTTCTATGAATTACTACCATGAGGTTTAAATATTTTATGAATATACATATATCTTGAGTCCTAATTAAATAGATAAAAATAATTGCCATCAGGATTTAATTCAAAACAGTATTTGTTTTCATGAATTGAACTGAGAGAATAGGATAATTTTCCGTCAACATGATCCTTGATGTTCTTCATAAACATCTGCAATATCCAGTCATATGCTAAGCAGACAAACCTTTAATTTCTCCTTCTGAGAAACCTGTGGGCCCATGGAGGTGAAGTGTTGTAAAACTGTGGTCAAATGGCAACTCTCTGACATTAAGAAAATGTTGAAACTTGTCAAAAAGTCTACTGTATTAACTAGTAAGACTCAGGTCTTTTCCACAATTAATGAAACAGATACTATCATCCTAAAACATCTATTTTTTTAAAGAGACTCTTGTCATTAGATGCAGTTTAGGTTACATTTTGGATCCCAACTCCAAAATTATAGTCTGTTATTTCCTCTCAATCTGTTATAAGGGATTTTGGAAAAAAAGTTTTTTTAATTTTGAGAATATGTTAACAATGAAACAAAATCCACATGGCAGAAATTTTTAGTTTGTTTTAAATGCAGTACTCAAAACATATGTTCATTATTAATTTAGATTTGATTATATATCCTCATCATAAAAATAGCCCTTGAGCAAATGAGCAGAAAAATTTATTGAAAAAAATGTGTATCAAAGCATGGTATAAAGGAAAAAGTTAATTTTGCAGATCTTGTTAAATGTTGTGTTATAGACTAACTGCAGAGGACAAAGGGTTGGTGGCTTTTGCCAGTAGCATTCATTGATCATGATTTTGAAGGTGGAGAAAATTTGTTGTTGAATAGACATTGTAGCACTAGATAACCCAAGACTGCCTGGAAACTCTTAAAACTATCCTGCCAAAGTTCCTGTATTATCTGGGGGATCCCTTGCACCCTGCTAGAGGAAGGAGCATGTCTCAATTCCAGATTTGGAGATTATAGACTAAAAGTGCCAATAATCTCACTCCCTGTACACCTCTCAGAGATTCGCAGGAGCTTAAATTCAACCATTTATTACAATATCCAAGATATTCTGTTAAGTGAAAAATGCCTGATGCAAACGGAAGTACAAAATAAAATATATGTCATGATTGATTTTATTTGCATTAATATTTCTGAAAGAAACCAGTAACTGTGTCCATTGTTGGGGAAGGATAACAACCAGGTAGATGGGGGCAGAGGTGAAAGGAAGACTTTCATCCTATACTTTTAAAATAATTTTTAAATATTCGAACCATGAAATTTATTATTGACTCAAAAACTAAGTAAATCAATGAAAATTAAAAAACTAAATGAATAAATGGAAATTTTGGTTTATTTCTCCCCTATTTTCAATTTTTTAATTAAAATTTTTTTGGTTTTATTGAGGTATAATTGACAAATAAAATTGTAAGATATTTAAAGTGTATAACAGGATGATTTGGTATACATGTATATTGTGAAAGGATTCCTCCATAGAATTAATGAACATATCCATCGTTTCACATATTTACCTTTTTTTGGTGAGACCATCAAAGTTCTACTCTCAGCAAATTTCAGTTGTTCAATACAGTGTTAAGTGTCTATCAACGAACGAATGGATCAGGAGGATGCGATACACACACATACAGAGGAATATTATTCAGCCCTAAAAAGAAGGAAATTCTGTCATATGTGGAAACATGGATGAACCTGGAGGGTATTATGTTAAGTGAAATCAGCCCGAGATAGAGAAATACTGTGTGATATCATATGTGGAATCTTAAAAAAAAGAAGTCAAATGCAGAAACAGTTGAAAAGTAGTTGCCCAGGACCGGAGTCGGGTAAATAGGGAGAAGTTGGTAAGAGTACAAACTTTCAGCTGTAAGATGAATAAGGTCTGAAGATCTAAAGTAGAACATATATTTTAGTTTTCCACAACCAAGTTCTGAAAGCTTATTTAGGTGCTATTTCCTTTACTATATTGCAGCTTCGTCGACATCCTCGTAACATAGAGGAGGAAACCAAATACATTGAACTGATGATTGTGAATGATCATCTGATGGTAGGATTTGCTGAATTTTTTGTTGTTTGAACTTGTCTATGCCTAGGGTAAAACTGGTGGCTGCAGAAATATGTTTAGAAGAAAGAAGCCCGTAAAGCTTCTTTATGGAGAAGGTGTTTGTGTAAGCAAACATATTTGTTACCCACCAACAACCTGCAGGTAGGAAACACTCTTGGGTGAAAGTAAGTAACAGTATTTTGTGAGGTTCCAAAAATGTTTCTGAAACTCATAATGTCAAGTCTTTGGATTTAATTGATTAACATAAGTCCTAACATCTCCTCTCACTGAAATGGCAAGGTTTAAAAAAAAAGGAAACTTCAATTTTATATTAAAAATAAGTGAGGCACCAATAATGTGACACTTTATTTTGCAATATACAGCTTTATCCTAATAAAGGAAAAACAATTTGTTCTATTTCTATCTTGCTATGCAGTAAACCTATAAACGAAAAACTTACATAGCCAAGTAATGAAGATTTTTAGGATAAGAACCGAGCGAAACTTCCATTTTTGTTGAGTCAGTTATTTTGTATACATTCAATTTATGGGCATGTTGCAGTCAGTTTGGTTATAGTCACAGCACATCAGTGCATTATAATGCTAATCATTCTATGTAACCAGGATTTTGAACTAAAAGTGTTCAGTGATGCACATTGTTGAATATTACTTAATTTCAGGTGCGAGTACATTTAGGTTTACTTTGAATGATTTATTTGAGGGAAAATGTGTCATTTATTTTACATATGATAAACAAATATCAATTTTAATTATGGTTAATGATAATACAGTCAAGATTTAGTGCTTCTAACTTGTTCCGGCTAAGACAAAGTTTAATCTTTCTACCTTTTTGAATTTAGTGAATGTTACTGTTCCCTGAGATTTTTTACAAAATATGAATAAATTGCAAAAACATAATTTTGGACATTTTAGGATATCACAAATTCAGATGTCTGTAGGCATCTTAAGACAGATAACACAAATAAAGTGAGCCAGGTATACAACAATAGGAAGCTATGGTGAAAGAGAAGTCACATGGCCTGTCTAATGGCAGCAGCTGCTTCTTAGCACTTACCAGTTATTACCTTGTGGTGATGCTAATTTCAAGTAAAGCCAGGAATCAGGTTTCACATGGTATTTCCTGATTTTTAAAATAGCATTGATATATGTGATTCACATATAGCCTATAAGCTACCACTTCGTGACCCTTGGGGCTTCTTCTCCTTACTGAATAAGTCGTATAGAACTTATAAATTTTTATACTTTTAGCAGTAGTCACATTCACGTTTTCTGACTGTAATGCTACTTGTATTTGTATGTCTTGCAATCCATGGAGAACTTTCATATGTTTTATCATTTTAAATAATCTTGTGATAGAAATAAACTTGTGAAATGGATAGAATGGATATTCTTTACTTCATCTCACGGATGAGTAGACTGAGGCCTCCAACTTTTAACAGCCTGTCTCAAAATGCGCAGCATGTAAATGACTGGGTGTCAATTCTTACATTTTTTACAGAAACGCTTAGAGATCTTTCAATTAAATCATGTTTTCTTTGTCGAGATGATTATTTGCTGATCACTTTCAAAGCCCTTCACTTGTTTTCTTTTGCTTTCAGTTTAAAAAGCATCGACTTTCAGTTGTACATACCAACACATATGCAAAATCTGTGGTGAACATGGCAGATTTAGTAAGTATCAATCCAATTCAATATTGCCATAGAGGAATTTTATCTCTTGATTGCTAATGGAACAGATAATATGGTTCTTATATATTCACTACTCTAAATTACACTTTAACCAACGTGTCCCATAAATCCCTGGTAACCTTGCAAATGACCTTATTGACTTCTATCTGTGGCTGAGAAGATGCTAAAAGGAAGTGGTCAGATTTACTGACACATTTATGCATGAAATTCCTTCCTGTATTTTTCACATTGGAGAAGAAAAGGTTGAGTCACAGCCCCTAACAAAGATCTGTATACTTCTACCAACAGAGAAACAGTAGAAGAGTTGTGCCTTTTTCAAAAGTGCCTGGTGCTATGGGAATGATGCAACTAAACAATTCTACTGTAGCTACTTTCCAAATCTTCCCTTGACAAGGCAGTGTCAGTACCTTCTCCATGAGTTTAATCAGGGCCAGGCTGGTTGTATAGAAATTATTTTCGTGGAGTCGTCACTGTTTCATTTTTGCTATGGGAACTCAAGAATGCATTGATTCTTTGTGTAGGTGCCAGAAAATGAACTCCAAGGAGCCTTGAATAAGGGTGCAAATATTTGTTAAAAAGTCACCTTTTGTTTCTAACTGGTTCTCTGTTCTTTGGGTATTACTTGGTAAACAGTTTGATACTCTGTTACTTAAGGTAAATGCCTGTAAATGAGAAAAACAATCATCTTCCTTAAAAACAGTGATGTTTTTTACATTTAACTAAAACTCAAGGAGTTTCCATAAAAGGAGCTTTGTAATCCTATTTATAAATCATTTGATTTTACCAATGTACAGCTGGTGTGTTCATTTTGTTAATATACTAGATATATAAAGACCAACTTAAGACAAGGATAGTATTGGTTGCCATGGAAACCTGGGCGGCTGACAACAAGTTTGCCATATCTGAAAATCCATTGATCACCCTACGTGAGTTTATGAAATACAGGAGGGATTTTATCAAAGAGAAAAGTGATGCAGTTCACCTTTTTTCGTACGTAACTTTTGTGATAATTATCTTTTTTGGTTCCATGTTGTATGCTCTATGACTTGTGACAGCAGTATCCTTTTTATTACATAATGCAATTGGGATTTGACAGGAAAGATACATTTGAAAGAAGTTTTAAAGTATAAATTGTAAAAAAAAAAAATGGAATAAAAAGTAAAGTATAAATTGTTTGAAATTGTCATGAAAATTTAAGAGGTTTAATTTTGTTATTTTAACATTGCATGTATGTTTGATTTTTTTTAAGATTTATTTATAGCATTTATTGAGTAAAAGTGGCTAATGCTCATAAAGCATATTGGTAACAGATTAATTATATTCTTTAAAGTTGCTGTCTTTTAAATGTTAATATTATCTTTGTTTTTGATTTAAGGTAAGAACTTAGTATTTCCAGAGTTTATCTTTTATTTTTTTCCCCACTCTTAAAGGTTTTTAAATTTTTTTTGATAACATGCGTGTTTGATGTAATAGCAAGTTATGTATAGTAGCATTCAAAAAACTATTATTCAAAGACAGAGCTGTTGAAGAAAGTATAAATGGAAGTAAAAGAGTACATTTTGGGGGTAACTTTATTTTTACATAATTTCAAATTTACAGAAAAGCTGTAAGACTACTACAAGAAAATATCTGATGCCCTTCATCCCAATTCATCAATTGTTTACATTTTGCCCCATTTGTTTTATGATTTCTTTCCTTCTACCCTTTTTACTCCCTTCCTTTACTTTCTTCCTTTTATCTATCCTTCTATCATTTATTTTTTTTCCTGAGCCATTTGAGAGTAGCTTGCAGACACTTACTTACTGGTCATTTACTACTAAATACTTAAGACATTTTCTTATGTAACTGTAGTAAATTATTAAAAACAGAAAATTTAACACTGGATAAACTACTTTATCTAATCGATAGTCTATGTTCAAATTTTACCAGTTGTCTCAGTAATGTCTTTTATAGCTGATTCTCCCTGACTACCCCAAATCCAGGATCCAATACTGCATTAATTGTCATGTCTCTTTAGTATTCTTTAATCTGAAAAATTTCCTCAGCCTGTCTTTGTTTATTTTGAGCTTTAGACCAGTTATTTTATAGCATGTTATTTTATAGCATGTTATAGACCAGTTATTTTATTTCATTGAGGGACTGTCTGATATTTTCTCATTATGAGATTCCAGTTGTGCATTTTCGGCAGAAATGCCATGAAAGTGATATTCTATCCTTCTCAGGGTACATCATATTAGTAATTCTTCTTTAATAGATACAGTTCTATTGAAGATATTGATTGATCATGTGGGAAATGTCCTTCAGAAACCTTTTTCTTTGGTTATGTGTATAAATAATTTTCACATTCTTCCCTTACCTCAGGGATATATAGTATGTAAATGTTAGGTGCATTGAGAAAATAAATGTGGTAAATTAATAATGAGAGGTGCTATGATGTTTGAACTGTGAGCAGTAAGTATTTTTCATTTCCTTTTCTGAAAGGGGAAGTCAATTTGAGAGTAGCCGGAGCGGGGCAGCTTATATTGGTGGGATTTGCTCGTTGCTGAAAGGAGGAGGCGTGAATGAAGTAGGTGTGAACATCTGTACAGTACAAAGTGGTATGATGGCTGAAAATGTTTTCCTAATATTTAAGTGATAATTTCTCAGTATTCCACATTTTCCAGATGTTAGGTGGTTTTATTAACAGCCAATGTGGTTACTGTAAATTACCAGAGGACAGAATAGGGAAATCATTGAAGATAACTGATAATTCTGTTTATGTTCTACTTAGAATAATTTCCAGATTTTGCTATTTACAGATTATATAGAGAAAATCTTTACTTTTACCTTCATCGACAATAAGGTCCTGTTTATCACTTTGATTTTCCAGAGAATTGGTAATTCCCTGAAGCATTGGATTACCGCCTAAGAACTGAATTAGAAATTTTCTTCCTTCTTTAATATTTGGCAAATTTTAGGGGAAAAAAATAGACCAGGGTTTTCAAAGTGTTCATTCTACCCATAAGGCACTAAGCCTGATGGAAGTGATTTAAAAGAAATACTTGAATCTTTGAGATTTTTTGAAAAAAATCTCCCTAGGTCTTCTCAAGTTTCTTTTGGCCAAAGATCATCACCACTTCCTGTTATGTATAATTGCATTTTCTGAAGCTACATTCTATTCAGTTTGGGGGAAATTTCACATTTATTTTTATTTTAGTATTTTCCAAAAGACTGGTTTAGTTATATGCAAGTATTAAGTTTTTCAGAAAAGTCACTGGCAAAATTTGGACGCAGAATTAGATTTAAGTTTCCAAACCCCAAAACCGATGATTTCCTGGCTTCTAGTTTTCTCTGTAAGACTTAATCAAACGCAGATTTTTTTACCACTTCTTCCCAAATGCTCAACACTTCAGCACTAGCTATTATGCGTTAAAGTGTATTAAATAATATGCTTAGAAATTACTTATTTTCAATTATATTGTGACTTTTTCTTTCGATCATCTTAAATAAAAAATTTGCGTTCACATGTATTTTATTTTTGTTTTTGTTTTTCAGTTTGGGAAAACTGATTTAATGGCAGTTACACTTGCTCAGTCATTAGCGCATAATATTGGTATTATCTCAGACAAAAGAAAGTTAGCAAGCGGTAAGTTTTAAATACATGTATGGTTTAGTCATGTTTAAAATAGACTATCTGTAAAATATTTTGGAGAATGAGATTTGTTAATTCAGTTGCTTGATTAAAAGAGTTTGGGTGATAAGATAAGCAGCCAGGCACAAAATAATTTTTTAAAAAGTAATACAAGATAATATGTTACAGATAAAGTTTCTCCATGTGTAATAAATATTTAAAGCCATGTGATGATAAATTCACAGTTGAATTTAACCTATACAAGGACAAAAAAGCTAAGTTTGGTAATTTTAAATGGTTTAGTAGTCGTAGGCATATAGGTTTAAGGCATATTATGTTTATTTAAAACATCTCTTAATATGGCCACAGAGGTAGAATTTGTCTGCCAGGTTTGATCAGATCTGATAAAGGGCACAGTATAATATGGACCTAGTAAAGTACATTAAGTTTAGAATCTATGAAGAACATAATTTCCCAAGTTACTTTACCAAGAATGGTCAAATACTGTATTTTGAGTGAGTGGATTATAACCATATTTATTTTATTATTTTAATAAATATACAAATATGATTGTTTATATTAAAAATAATTATTACCATTTATGGAGTACACATTATATGACACATCATTGAATGCCAGTATTATCTACATCTAGATACTTATTTAATCCTCTAGATAATCATGCATACATTATTAGCCCCATTTTATAGATGAGGTGATTAGATCTTAAAAGGTGATGTCTCCAATATTACACAAGTTGACATTAAGTCACAGCCCAGGTTGTAAACCTAGGCTGTTTCTAAAGCCCCTCTGCTTAACCAGCCTACTACACTGGCTTCTCTCAGCAGCCTTTGTGCAGAGGCTTTAAAAAATGAACAGGAAATTTTAAGAATTCCCATAAAGGTCTAGGAAACCAGGATCCTATAGTGGTATGTCACTATTTTACTGGTATTTGATTATATTTTATTTAAGCCATTTTAAATGAATGCTTTAAAAATATGGCCACTTGTTTAAATATCAAAAGATTTAATTTTATTAAAAAATATATTATCTTGGGTCAGAGTGAAGCTATCCTTGTTAAAATAGGAGGTACTCTAATGCACCTGTTTTTATTTTGTAATAAGGCATGTGTGTTCATTTTCTCTTAGGCGAGTGTAAATGTGAGGACACGTGGTCTGGATGCATAATGGGAGACACGGGGTAAGCCGCTTCTATTTGAAAATAACTCACTTTTCCTTTTTCTCCTGGGCTGTTGTCTTCTTAGGAATATGACACTGAATAACTTAGTGCATGGAACCTTACCCCAGGCATTTAAGAGAAAATCTGAAGTAGATTTTCTCAATGGCTTTGAGAAAATGTAAAATGTTTTCACAAAATAGTCTCTTGTTTATGAAAACAGTTGATGTTCATTAAGCTGGTAGAGCAAAGACTTTTTTAAACTTGAATCTAGGCCGGAAATAAGGAACAATGTTTGGTTTGTACTAATTCCCTTTCCTTTTGTCTTTTCCAATTCTAATTAAATGGGTTATAAACAATAGTGTGCCAATAAGCTGACTCTCAAAAACAAAAATAAGAAAAGAGTCCAGATTTTTAGCTTCTCAGATATCCAGCAGCCTTCTACCGCATGTAGATGCCTATGGTGTAGATACTGTAATGGCTGATTTCAAGCTACCAATGATGCATCACTGAACAAGGAGTGGGAAGAGTAGTGTACATTCGCTCTCCTGAAAAAGGTTGTCATTTTTATACTGCCCTACCTTTCACACACCATAAGGCACCAATCATATTTTTTCTAAACAAATTTTACAACCATTCTTTTCATGCCAGACTTATCACTACTGCCTTACTTTAAACTTTTTTCATCTTGTGCTGTTATTTCAGTAACATTCCAGATACTTGGGCAGCTTTCAGGCTCTCTCTCCCTTCCTGAACTGCACTTCCATCATAATTAAAAGGTATAAAGAATAAAAGAATGAACACTTGTATACTATTACCCAGCTTAAAAAAATAAAACCCTGCCCACATTGTTAAATCTCCCTTGTGTTCTTTCCTATTGGTCCCTAGCCAGGGTAACCACCATCTTGAATTTGGTTAATATCATTCACAGATCCTTTTTTATACTTTTACTGTATATTTGTGTTTGTTTTGAAGTAATACACAGCATTGCTTTGCATATTTTCAGTTAATATAAAAGGTATCATACTATATGTATTCTTCTCTGATTTCCTTTTTTTTGATCAACTTTATGTTTGTGAGATTCATCTATGCTGACAATATAGAGATTTAGTTCATTTGCTGTATATGGCACAATTTCTCCATTATCCTCTTAATGCACCTGGATTTATGTGTGTCAAATACATGAATCCTATCATTTTTCTGCTCAGAACTTTTGTTGAGTTTCTGTTGTCTAAAGGATAATGTTCAAATTCCTTTCTCCAACATTTAGGTGTCCATAATTTTTCTTCATCCTCATTTGCAATCTCATTTTTCCGAACTATTCATAATCATTTTGCTAACCATAATTATACATGGATTGCCAGCTATTTTTGATTTGCTAACCATAATCCTATGTGGATTTTCAAAGCTCCTTAAATATTTGCTCACAATAATTGTACGTGAATTTTCAGCCTCTTTCGCTGTCTTCAATATACTCTCTTCATCTGGAATTCTCATCTTTTTCAACCTAACCTATTTCTAGCCATTTGAGATTTATTATAATTTTTAACTCCTGCGTTATAATTTAATTCTCTATGTGCTGTGCCACTCACCAATTAGTTATACATTTTTTGAGGATTACATCTTACACTAATGTATATTTTTGTCAGACCTCATACCATAATATCTTGTACAGACTTGATTTTGAAGAAATATTTATTGTTTATATTTGAATTTTTTTTAAGTTTATTGGGGTAACTTTGGTTAATACAATTATATAATTTTTAAGTGTATATTATCATTTGACATCTGTATATTCTACTGTGTGTTTACCACCCAAAGTTTAGTTTCCTTCGGCTACCATATATTTGATCCCCTCTAATCACTTTACCCTCCCTCTACCCCTCTATATTTGACCCTCTTTACCCATCTACCTCCCCCCTCCTCCCCTACCCCACTAGTAACCACTACTCTTATAGTCCTCTGGTAACCACTAGTCTAGTCCATGTCCATGAGTCTCTGTTTGTCCTGTTCATTTGCCGCTTTTAGGTTTATATCCCACATATAAATGATATCATGTGATTTTCACCTTTTTCTGTCTGGCTTATTTCGCTTAGCATGATTATTGAGGTCCATCCATGTTGTCGTTATATTTGAATTTTGAACTCTCAAGATATGTATGACAAGGAAAATAAGTGATGGAGGAGGAAATGTACATGGAAATATATATTTAAACTATTTTTAAAATATCTTTGGACTTTTTGTTTAGTAATAAAAGGAAATTAAAAGTTACAACTTTCTCAAGTTGTAATTTTCCAACAATTACTAAATTCCATGCTAGAGGTTCTTGTCTTTTAAAAGCTATTAGTAAATTGTACCTGATTAGTTTGATTAACTATTAAACACAAAATGTTATGGATACTTTGCTTAGCACTAAGCATATGTGTAGCAAAACCAAATGACGTCACAGATATGTATAGCTCTTTGCATTGAAACTTCTTACATCAAATAGATGCAGCATATTTGAGAAAAACTCATTGCATGAAACATTGTCTGGCATTATGCTATATATATAATTTGATCTGTACCAAACATCACCTAACAGCAGTAATTATGGATATATATTTTCCACCGATACATTCCCTCTCATTTCTACTTTCTGAAGTTCCTCTCTACTGCTAAATATTGGAAAGCATTGTTGAAATGAATACCAGTCCTATTTAAAGGTATAAAAATTAAGATATTAAGAATTCATCGAATACAATAGATATGTTACCCTGCAAAAAAGAAGGTTTGAGGCAGAGCCTAGGGTAAGACATAACATCTGCTTTCAGGTATTTTAAGATATGGTAGCGAAATAAGTCTTCTTTGATACAGTTAACAACATAGACTGTAACTATAGGAAGTCAGATGTGGCACAGTGAAGGTAAGAGCAAGCTATAAATTTCAATTGTTCTTATATAAAAAGAGCTTCCCTGTTAGCAAAGAGTTTCTTTTCAATGTTGAAGAGCAGACTGAGCTCCCAACTGTGCAATGGGCAGGAGGCTGTGTGAGGCTGAGACCTCTGAGGGCCCTTTGCAAGGCAGGGGTTGAACGAGGCTTTGATTTCTAAGGGTCCAACACTAGCAATTGCTGACTTTCTTCTTTGACAGTAGGGGCCATCTCAGGTTTTGACTAGTAAAATAAACAGGAAACTTGAAGAAAGTCAAGTTTCATAAAGTCAAATTCCATAACTCTGGCAGAGATATGCAGCATAGATGAGTGGGTATGGTGATAAAAACATTGGCTGAGGTGTTCTCATTGAAAAGAAAAAAGGAAGTAATATATGTGTGAAAATCTTTAGATAAAGAATTAAATGTATGACTTATTAGGAAAGTGAAGTGAAGGAAGTACAGTAGTTCAGACAATTTACACCCATGATAGCTTTATTTGGAGAGTTTGGCATGAAAACTTTAAAAATGAGTTTGGAGTAAATAATCATTGTAAATTCCATTAATTGATTCACTAGGCATTAATCACTATGCTAGCAGGAAGTAGGAATATAAATAAATACAGTCCTTGCAGACTAGTGGGAGAGAGACTTTATAAAAACTATCTATTACTGTCTTAATTATATTTTTACTATTATATAAGCTCAATGTAAAACAACTTTTGAAAAGTATAGCAAATAAAATTTTTATTACTTTTCTCACCATATATTAAAATAGTATAATATTTTAATATTAACCATGGTTAATATTAAAGTAAACAATGTTAAAATAATGTTTAAATCCAGTATTTTTTCTCTTTCCATTTTTATTATTCATTTATAAAATTTGGGTCCTTTTGTATATATAACTATTCATTTTTTTACTTAACATTAGATAGTCAGCATTTTTCTGAGTTTTCATTCTTGAATACCCTGATTATTAACTACATGGTATTCTATTTTATTAATGTGTCGCAGTTAACAGTTTTTTTGGTATTGAACATTTAGGTTATTTTCATGTTATTTGCTATTGTAAATTGTGCCACCATAAATATCTTTGTTCAGATCTCTTTGCATACATAACTAATTATGTCCTCAAGAAAAATTTCTAAGAATAGAATTACTATATTTAAGGATATTTCTCGTTTTGAAGATTCTTAATGCATAATTGCTCTATAGTCAAGTTTCTTTTTCTATTGATACTTGTTGCTTTTCTTGGTATACTTATTTTTTTTGTATTTTGAAACAATCTGAAACTTGAAAAGTTGCAAGGATAGTAATAAAGAACCTTTTTTTGTCCCTGACTCATAAGTTGCTAACTTGGTGCTCCATCATCCCCAAAACTTTAGAGTACATTTCTACAAACAAGGACATCCTCCTGCAAAACCACAGTACAGCCAATATAGTTATCTAATTCTTAGCCCTCATTCAAGATTGGCCCTATGTTTCAACAATGTCACTTTAGAAAAGGTTCAGAATCAGGCATCACATTTAGTTTTTATGTTTCTGTAGCCTCCTTCATTCTGGAACAGTTCCTGTCTTTCTTTGACTTTCATGACCTTGACATTCATAGATTAATAGGTCAGTTATTAAGTAGAGTGCTTTGCCTTCTAGCCCAGTTGTAATATTTAGGAAAAACTTATTATGAAACAAATTATTCCTAACTTGCTTTGATCAAAATTATAAGGTACTGTATGTATGTGTTTCCTTGAATATATATGCAAATAATAACCAACTTATAGTCACAATTAATCACCAAATGAAGAATTTAGAAATATACTGATTGAATAAAACTCTTAGGGATTGAATGCAAATGTTGTACGTAAGTATAATGTATTTTTCTTGTTTTAAAGAAAATGTATAATTTTAACAATGTTCAATTTTAAGACTAATATACAAACAAGGGAGACAAAGATTGTACCCAGCTATTACTTTTCTTCTCTCTTATAGTTATTATCTTCCTAAGAAATTCACCCAGTGTAATATTGAAGAGTACCACGACTTCCTAAATAATGGAGGGGGTGCCTGCCTTTTCAACAAACCTTCTAAGGTAATAAGCGTGATCAGTTACTAGTTATTAATCTTTCTAAAGTTTAATAAACACAAATTTTCAACATTGAGATCTCATAAAAGAGCTTTTCACCTTGGCTTATATGTACATAGTCTAGATTTGCTAATTATCTGCATTTTCAAAGTCATCTTTAATCTTGAGCAGTTAGGGCTATTCTGATGGGAATAGAAAACAGGTAGAAACAAGTGCTTTCTGAAAATTTTTCATTTTCTTTTTTATCTGGCCAAATGATTATTCCAGGTTAGATTACAAAAATGGTTTATTTTACCTTTCATTTTCATTTTCTTGATGAGTTCCACCCGTGCCCCACAGGTATCTAATCACACCTCATACTGGTGGAAAGGAGAGTAAATCTCCCCTCTTTACTCCCTACCACTGTCTTTCAGAGTATGATTAAAATTGCAAGTACTTCTCAATATGAAAACCAAATCCGCTTAAAGAAGAAAAGGAGAGTCTGTGCTTAGAGTTTGTCAGAGGCTTTTATAACTTGCGGTACCTCCTTTGTTTACTGACTAGAAAGCAGGTTCCTCCTGTATTTGGAAGACTTTGCACATTAAAAAGATTGCTTTCTCCTTGTTAATTACATGAACTGTGATGTGCTTCTTTGCATCACAGTGATGTGTGGCTTTGTAATCCATTACCTGGTTTCATTCCAGGTAATTTTACTCCAGTGAAATTTAGGAAATGTATCACATTGCATTGAAAAGTGAATTGATTTTAAGAATCTTTCTAAAAGTTTCAGGAGTAATAACTGAATTACATCCATGCCACTGTAAATAAAAAACAATTCAAGTCTTTTTACCAAAATAACTGATTATTCTGAACCCAGAGTAAAAGAATAAGAGTGTTTTTCATCTGGCTGAGTTTTAGTTTTGGCTTTCAGATTATCTCATGTGTTATGATCCCTTTCAACTGAAAATGAAATCTAGAGATGAGGTGATTCTTTTGTTGGAGAGGAGAGATTATTTGAAATTAGGTGGGGATTCTTTTCTGTTGTTGTTGCTTTATTTCATTTTGTTTTTTCCCTCTAGCTAGTTAAGAAAGTGTGTGTTTGTGTGTTCATAGGTGTGTATTCACTTATTCTATAACATATTAACTTTTCTATAACTTTTGAATGAATATTATGTATATGGAGCAGAGCAACTATTTACTGATTTTACCTGTCTTCATAAGATAAATTATACTCAAAAGATAATGATATTGATGGAGAGTTAAAAAGTAAAAACACTCTTACATGTACTCTTGCACAGGCCAAAAACCGCTTCTGTCTCCTGGGCAAATTATCATTGCTGTTCTCCACAGAACTATGTTAATAGGAGGAGCTGTTTTGTATCAAATAAATCAATGGATTTGTTATTTTGTGGTGTTTTCCTCATTATCAATGAAATAACTTTCTGTTTCACAAGGAAATATAATTAATAAAGGGCCTCCCACAGGTAATTGAACTTGATCCTCACAACAATTCATGATGTGGACGGGCAGCTAATATTATTCCCGTTTTAAATACTGAAATACTTGGGCTCTGAGATGGCAAGCCGTTTGCCCAAGATAAGTAGCTGAGCCAAGATTTGAATCCAGACATTCTGACTCTAAATCCCTTATTCCTGTTTGAAGGAAAGGAAATTGCAGGAGTCAGTCTGGCTTGGTTTTAGTCAATGGCTAGATCATCTTTTATTTTGATGGCATTTATTAGACCTTACTTGGTATGTGTTATGTACATAAATATGATTAAATCTGAACTGGATATAACATTAGACACTTCTGTTCCAAAGTTCCCAGTTCTAAAGTTATAAAAAGTCATGCTTTCTGTTTAGGAAAATAAACATATATTTTGGAATATCTGACAGATCTGCCAGAAGTATAGATGTGGCACTTATGGTCTCTTATAAGGTCTTTGATGTTGATTTTCCTATATTTTAATTCACTTTTTGATTTTCATCTCACAGCTTCTTGATCCTCCTGAGTGTGGCAATGGCTTCATTGAAAGTGGAGAGGAGTGTGACTGTGGGACCCCAGCAGTAAGTCTTTGGGAATTTGGATGATTTTTTTAGGTTATTTAGGGTCATTCCAGTACCACATACTGAGATGTTTAGAGCAAGTGTTATTCCTGGAAATTTTATAAGATTTGTGGAAGAAAGATTATTATTGTGAACATATACATTTATTAGAAAATATGCTGGTACTTTCAGGAAAATTACATCATTTTCTGATGTTGTGCAAATGTTTGTATTCCTTAGGAATGTATCCTTGAAGGAGCAGAGTGTTGTAAGAAATGCACTTTGACGCAAGACTCTCAATGCAGTGATGGCCTTTGTTGTAAAAAGTGCAAGGTAAATAAATGTTGATTCGTAACCCATTGGCAGAAAAGAGGACATATTTGATTAAATTGTTAAGTCTTGGTAAATATAATCTAATAACAATAGTAGTATCGAACATATATTAAGTGACTAGGTACCAAGTGCTTTATAGGATCCTCACAAAATCAATGAGATGTTGTAACTATTTTCATTCCCGTCTAACAGATGAGAACACTGAGCCTGTAGTGGTTAGTTTGCCCAGGGTCTTACACCAAGGGAGCTAGGGTCTGAACTTTTGTAATTCTCAGTTTGTCCTCTCACTACTGCCTCCCTGAAGAGCGTGCACATTAAATGAAATCAGGTGTTTAATCTTCGAATGATATTTTTCCTTTCTCGTAAAGCCAAACAGATATTCAGTAGACCTTTCTTTTCTTGCTGCTCAGCTTGTTGTATCTCTTGCATTAGCTGTTGAAGGACCAAAAGAAATACCTTTAGGCACGATAACCTTTTACATGTGTTGTGCCTGAGAGTTTAAAATACATCTTTAAACACATTATCTGTTTTCATTCTCCCAATAGCATCCTCATATCAAATATTTAAGCCTTTCCATCAAGGCTAACCGTTACTTGAGGCTTACTTTTTTCCAAGAAATCTAATTCTTTTGTCTATTATATAAAGTCTGGTACCATATTCTCCATTATTTCTGAGGCTTAGTATCTGTCTCTTTTCAGTTTGTACATTTTATGGAGACAGAGCCAGGGGCTTACACAGTAATTGGTACAAGTTCAACAAATAAATATTTGTTGAATGAATGAATAAATATGCACAGCACTCTCTTAGTGATTATTTGATGATTGACTAACTTTAGTCTAATGAGTTAAGAGAGGGTGGAATATGAACCTGTCATATCAAGTATCTATTGAGTGCCAGAGATAGTGCTAAACACTTTTACTTTTGTATCATCTTATATCATCAGGGTTTCTCAACACTGGCACCATTGACATTTTTGGCTGGATAATTCTTTGTTGTGAGGGTGTGTCTTGTTTATTGTAGAATATTTAGTAGCATCCTGGACTTCTGCTTTCCAGATGCAAACACCACCCCTTCCAGTCATGACAATCAAAAATGTCTCCAGACGTTGCCAAATGTCCCCTTGGGGGCAAAATAACTCCTGGATGAGACTGCTATCTTAGGTAATACTCACAACCACACTTTTGAGATAGGCATTATTATCCACATTTTTCTACTTGAGCAATCCCTGTCTTAAGCAAGTGAAATAACCTGCATAGGCTCATTCAGCCAGGCATGAATAAATGTGCAGTTACCTCCCAGATCTGCTGGTGGCAATTTCTGTTGTTTCCGCTTTATCACTATGTCTCCGGCAGGTTTTTAAGACAAGAAAGGCACTGGTGGAGATCTCTGAAGGCACTCTCTAAAAATAGAAGATTAAACTAAATGTGAAACAGACTTTCTTTCATTTTGGCTGCCTCAACTGTTTATTCTGTCAGTTTTCCCAACTTCCATAATAAGGAATCCCCAATATCATTTATTTTAATCCTTGATGTTTTAAGTCTGCCCATCTATAAAATGCCTTTGATTATGCCCCTTTTCTTTGATTTATAGCATTCAGCTCTTTGTGATGTCATAATTCTAAGAAACAGGTAAAAATAATAAAGTTAAAATAAGATACAGTGGCATGATTAACCATCCCACAAAATAAGTTACAGCTATACCCGTCAAATAAGATCTTTTTTGCCACTTTCTCTACCCCGCACCTCCCACTCTCACCCCTCCCTTGGGCTCTTGGAGGAGCCAGAGGCAGGATAGTGAATGGAGGAGGGGAAATAGAAGAACAAGACTAGAAATTATGTGCCTTTATTTTTTCTACATTATAATAATGTATCTATGTCAGAGTCTGCAAACATTTTCTATAAAGGGCCAGATGGTAAATAATGTAGGCTTTGTGGGCCATAGGTCTCTGTCTCAGTTACTCAACTCTGTCTTTGAAAGCAGCCATCGAAAATGCAGAAACAAATGGGCACAGCTGTGTTCCAGTGAAACTTTTTAAAAACAGGCAGCCAATCAAAATGCTGCCTTCAAGCCATAATTTGTGGACCTCTGCTGTAAAACATTGCTTATTTACTTGTTTATTATTTTTCTTCTCTCTTTTAATATGTAAGTTTCAATACGGCAGGGATTTGGGTTGATTTATTTACTGCTATATCCTAACACTTAGAGCACGTCCTTTACTATGCTTTCTCAAAACTTTCTGGCAGTTCTTAAACATTTACCCTCTCATGTAAACTCTAGTATCTTAAATCTGCTCATATTTCTACCTCAGATGTTCTAAAATTCTGGTTTGCCCCAGTCCCAAGGAGAAAGAGAAACAGAATATAGAAAATGAAATTATCTTGCTTATTTCCTTATCTTTGTGGCCCGCTTACACCCACTAAAATGTAAGCTGCTTGTGAGCAGGGTTCTTGTGTTTAGTTCTCCATTGAATCCCCAGTGGCTAGAAAGTGCCCGGACATATTTTAAGTAGCTAGTAAACACTTGATGAAAGAATGAATGAATGAACACAAATTTTGCTTGAATCATTTACAAAGTATCGGTTGAAATGCTGATTGGAGTTGGCAGTATGCTGTTCATGTTCTAGGAACAACAGGAAACTCAACTGCCTGGAGGGTTGTGAGCAAGGGAGAAATGAAATCTGTGGGGTGTGGGTCGCTGTCCCAAATAATGTGTATGTTTATGTGAGCACAGATGAAAGCATAGAAGGATCCAGCCCCAAATATTAACATTTTGGAGAGGGAAAGTTTTTTTTTAGAAGAAAAGGATGAAGATTTCACGTATCTGTGTTTTGTTATAATAAATACTCTTACAATTTATAAGTCTAATGAGCTTAAAAATTTATTTGTACAACTCCCACACTTAAGAAATATTTGCAGTATATATTTGAAAACAGACAAAAAAAGAAAAGCAACAAACACTCCCATACACTGGTACAAATCATAGAAACATTAGCAAAGAATAAAAGAGAGAGCTATGCATCTATGTAAAATGGAGGAAAATCTAACTTTTGCAATTCAGCTTAAAATGTAACTTTTAAATTCTTGGCAGATAAGGCAGAAAAAGGAGTAATAAGAGGTGCAAGTAAGAGTGAAGGGTAAAGTGTAAATCCAAAAGCTGTTTGGAAGGAAGAGTTACTGGAACTTGGGCTGACTCATCCTTCTGGATGGAGAGTGTACCATTAAGCACTATCCTATTTTCACAAGATATGTAAGGCTTATGTGTGATGACTGTGTAAATTCATATTTGAGAAACTCTTTCTGAAAACTATTAACATTTCATTCAGTAACTGTGGTTTTCACAGACTACTATCTTAAAATAGTTCAAGATATTCCGATCCAAAATATATATATATATATATATTCATTTTGCTTTTTTAAAGGTGATACTGTGAGAATTTTTTCCTTCAACAGTTTTACACATTGATTTTTGTTCATTTTAGTTTCAGCCTATGGGGACTGTGTGCCGAGAAGCAGTAAATGATTGTGATATTCATGAAACATGCTCAGGAAATTCAAGCCAGGTAATTTATAGAATAATTACTCTAAACCAGATGAGAAAAAACAGGAGTATCTTTAGTGCGCAGACCCCCAGGACACATTGAAATGGACAAGATGCTCATTCTCTCTTTCACATCAACTCTCACTCTCTTTTTATTTGTTTTTCAGGAATTTAAGTTTTGGTTATCAAAGCTTGAGCAGATGTTCAGTATAGTTTTGTCTTAATATTGAGCAAACCTAAGGCTACATGCATGTCTTAACTATTTTGTTTTTGTTTTAAGTAGAGAGTAAAATTCATTTTTTTTTGTCTAATTAGTGAAGGAGGAACAAAAAGACCCTCTTAAGCTGGTTGAAACAGGAGTCACCCAAGGCAGAGAGACCCACAGAGCCCTGGGTTTTGAAAAGGGGTCTGTTTCTCTGTCTTGATTCTTATTTATCTGGCTCGTATCACTTTAGCCATTAATAGCTGCTCTTGAATTTAATATTATTTAGTTGTAAATAGAGTAGATAGAGAAGTTGATAAACTTTGGTAGTGGTTCCCAGATTTCACATGACCAGTGTGTATCCCAGCAGTTCTTACTTTGCACGGTAGTGCAGGACCATGAAAATGAGCATGCAAGCTGAAACCATGTAAAGTCATCTTAATAATCAATGGAATAAACTACAGTTGTTCTATGACCTTCAAAAAAGGTTGTCAGACTATTGGTTTTAAAAGATTAGGGAGATGAAAAAATAAACTAATATTTATTTAGCACACTAAATAAAAACGGGAACATTGAGAATTAAAGCATTTTCTTTCTTTGTAAAATACTTATCAAGAGGAGTTGGAACTGTGAGTGCCTTCTTGTTGTAAACCTTATGATACATAGTGAGCATCTTTTTCAAGCATTGTTGAATTGTCATACTCCTTTCTAAGTTTGGATCAGATTTCAACACTTTATCCTCTGTGCTTTCAATGTCATGAACTATCTCCAAGAGACGTGAAGATGTGAATGTGAAGGTTTTTGCCAAACCACAGTAACAACATTGCCATAGTCAGTGATTTTTTTTTCTATGACTCAGTTAGAATTTGTATTCAATGAGAATTTCACTTGAGTGTCATCATGCCTTTTTTTTTTTTAATACAATTTTGTAAAATGTTACATGCTATCAACCAAAGACAGGCAACATAACTATACACTTTGTTGTCTGTGCATGAACTGACTAAACAGATGGCAAGTGACCAGTCACTGAGAGATCTTGAAAGAAGTGACAACATGGATCTTTCACCATGATAGGCTTATGTTATTTACCTTGTGATCAGTGGACCGAAGAGCTGGTAGCAACATTTATACTTTATACAATAACTCACAGTTCATATATTATGGTAACTAAAATTGGAACTGTGTTATGGGGATACTGGTGTTCTTTAACAAAACTGTGGTAACTGAAATTCATGCATATTGGAGCCATGCAAAGCTAGGACTGCCCGTATATTTTTTTCTTTAGAGAAGAGGGATTCAGTAGTGGTGTTATCTGCATTAACCATTAAACATGCTTTATGTTAAAGATAATCATTTTAAAGACTAAATGTTTTTCATGTAAAAATATTTTTCTTTCTTGTTATCTAACTAGCATTGTGTTTCTGAGCTAACACAGTGATGATGAAATAATGAAATGATGGATGTGCAAAAATGTTCTTGTTGTATTAGTTTTAACAGCATAAATTGGAGATACAGCAGGTCCTTCCTTAAGTAATGGTGTTTTGTTCAATGTCATTTTGTGATAACATTGATGAGATGCCATAGAAACTTAATTCTTGTTTATATCAATTAGCCTATGGTAAAATTGGTTTCATTATACATCATTTTGCTTAAAGTCACAGACCCTATCGAGGACAGTGAGGACTTACTGTATTTACAAGTAAATATTTTAGTACATTGGTTATATGGTTTGTTAGCTCAATGCAATGTATTTCAGCTATTAAGATGATACTACAAAAAGTTTATTATGAGATGAAGAAATTTGTATGACAAAAGTAAAGGGAAGAAGCAGAATATAAAATATTATCTTTAACTTGATTATACCTATGTTTAAAATAGTACCAAAATTTGTAGGAAAAAAATGAGGAAAATGTACCAAAATGTTAAAAATAGTTGTCTTTGGGTTGGGAGACTATGAAAGACTTTTGTCTTTCATTTTTTTAAAAAAACTTTTTTACATTTCCTACCTTTTCTCAAATGAGTATATAATTGCTATAATGATAGAAAATGTGCAGTACATTTAAAAATTACTGACTGTTTATATCCTCACAAGAATACTTTGCAATTTTCAGTACTTGCTGCAAGAGATTTAAAAAAAAGACGGTTGTTGTAAAGCATGTCTCTTTCTAACATGCCCAAAGTAGACATGTTGAGAGTCATTTTAGGAGTAACTCATTTTAGCTGTGTTGCTTCTCGTGGTAGAAAAAGAAGAAATGTAGTTATTGCTTCGTTTATGTTGGCATCTTTGCTTTTGTTTAGTGCCCTTGTTTTTCTTGCTCTAAAGAGCAGTGTGTCTGAATAAAGCATGATGTACTTAAATTTTAGTGTTAGCTGAGTCATTGCCGTCAATTCCTTTTATTTGCTGCTATATAATCAACTGTTTTTACCTTTGATAGATCAGTAATTTTAGAGGAAAGTATACCAATTGTTATATTTCCTTTTGCTTGTTCTTGATTTTTTTTGTTTTTATTTTCAGATATTTTAAGAGACCTAATGTATTATCAGACTTTATTTTAAAAATATTATCCTAACATTTGGCTGTGCATTTGGTTCATAGTTCTGTTTCTTTTCCTAGTGTGCCCCAAATATTCATAAAATGGATGGTTATTCATGTGATGGTGTTCAGGTAGGTTACTTCATCTTTACTTAAATTTTTCATATGTGTCAGAACGGAAGAAATACTGAAATCTTAACAAAGTAGGCAGATTATTGTAAATGTTTCATAATCAATTCTGAAGATAAAAGACTTTATAATACTCATTTGCTAGTTCTCCCAGTCATATTTATTTTTTCAGTTATCTGACAAAAGCAGACATTGCATAGCTAATACGTATGCTTTTCCATTTTAGGGAATTTGCTTTGGAGGAAGATGTAAAACCAGGGATAGACAATGCAAATACATCTGGGGGCAAAGTAAGTAAACAGTGTGGCTTGATCATTTCAAAGTATGATAGCAGGCCAAAGAACATGTGAGTTGGAAGTAAATTTTTAACAACTTTATAACTTGGAGATTCTTAAAATCACTGCAATTCTTAGCAGCGGCACTTTTGTGGAATTAGAGAAGGGACAGCCATGCATATCTTGTCTAGTCAGCAGTGCCTTTGGAAAAGACAGAAGATGGCTACGCCGCCATGCAGGTGAAGTCCACTCCAGGATGTGCAGCTTAGAGAATAGAGCAAACCTGGATTTCAGGTCCGCTTACATTCTCCTCAGTTGAGTGTCTTTAAGCAAAACCTGTACAACCATATGGGATGGACATGGGCCCTGGATGGTGCACTCCTGGCTTAGAACTTTAGTATTTTAGCTAGAGTTGCTTTTTCTTAAACTATCTTTCTTAAACTCTAACTGGCTTTCCTCCGTATAGGTGACCCTCTGCTGAGGTAGCTCTGCCATATCAAAAAGAAATTTTAATGTTATTCCCTTCAAAGTTTATCACATTTTCAGAGGAAATTATATAACATTTATATCAAAAACATATTATTTAAATTATATCTCTATTTAGATACATATTTAAATTATTTTTCCCAGTCTAATATATTTTTCCCAGTCTAATATATTTTTCCCAGAAGTATTACCAGTCCTATTGAAAGCCATTTTTGTTTCCAACTCTTTTAAAAGACAATTTGTATTAGAAAGGAAGCTATAAAGATAATAATAATCCTTATTGTCACAGTGGCTATAGTCTTTTTGGGAGGGGAAGTGTATACTTTATTTGAGCAGCTAGAGAAATATTGGGGTGGAGGAATATTTAGTCACACAGGTTTTACTCTAAACAAAGAGGTATAATTTTTATTTCCTCCACTTAAGAAAAAATAGTAGCAGACAGAAAGAAGTAGGACAAGAAAGTACCAACATAATTATTATTTTCTTTTTAAATATACATCAACAGTCATCTTTTGATTAGTTTGTAAAAGTCATTTTGATCTAAATCTCGGATAACTTAGTCAACCAACCCTGGTTTTGCAAAAATGACATCCTGACAAAGATGCTGACATATTTTAAAATGTTACCTGACTATCATAAATTTAGCTTGAATTCGTTGTCTACAAGCAGAATAAAGTTAAAGGTTTTTTTTTGCCAGCTATTAACAATTAGTAAACAAGGTAGGAATTGAACCATTGTTTCTTGAATGTTTATAGTGCATCACTATTTTAAGAAAATTGTCTTTATGATTAATAAAAGTCTCTGAGTGAGGAATTCATGCTTTATATTTGATACTGAGATTAAAGTATGGAGTATTTATTCAAGGAACCAGTTGGTAGCATCTTCCCCTAACTATTGGGCCAAATTCTGAGAAGTGTTCTTGGAACCTAAAGCCTGAACCCTGTCGAAAATCTAATTAGATTTTTTTTTTCCTCAAATTTTAAATGAGTAGTCATGAAAATGTACGTGAGTCATGGATGTCTTTGGTGTAGAAAAACTCTTATAAACCATGGGTACAATTTTGGAATTGACAGAATTGGAGTGGAGAAGAGTTCTTTAAATGGGTATTTCCCTGACTGCAAACATTTTGAGCAGCTCACGTGTTACGTGTGTCACTGATAGAAAACTCTATTCTGCTTCAGAGGTGATGGCATCAGACAAATACTGTTATGAGAAACTGAATATCGAAGGGACCGAAAAGGGTAACTGTGGGAAGGACAAAGACACATGGATACAGTGCAACAAACGGTGAGATAGACAAGTTAGCCCCAAGTTTATCTCTTAGTTAATTACAAGCATTGCTTTTTAAGCGACCAGGACTTTCCTGTTTTCTGCATCCCACAAAGCAGAAATGAATGTTGCCTGTTCATCTCTTCCCAGCATTCCAGCATCATCTTTGCAGAGGCTCTCAAATCTTAACATATACACTGATCTCTCTCCTAAGGCCAGGTCATGCTTATAGCTGCCTCAAGACTTTCTCACCTAGAAAGACACCTGCCAGCATCTCAAAAGTGACAAAAATTAAAGCTACCAGAATATGTAGTCAATTAACTGGCTCTGCCTTTTCTAAAACACTCGTTTTGCCAAAGGGCTTAATATCTCTCTGTCCTTCTGTTTAGAAGCCTCAGAATGATCCCTGACTCCACCTTCCCTCTGGCACATTGTCCAAATAGCCAAATCATCTCCATTCTTCCCTTTATTCTCCCACTATTTGTCTTTAATTCATCCCATCATTTCCATTCCTATTGCATTAAGGACCTATATTAAGGACCCAACTAAGACCTACATTAATTCTTCAATTAGTACAAAGGCCTCATAACAGTTTTTTATGCCAGCAGTCCAGCAGGCTGTCATCAGAATAATCTACTGAATATTTTTGACCATGTCAATTCTTTGTTTAAATTTCACTGGTTCCACATAGCTAATTAATAGTAGGACCTATATCGAGCTTTGGTTGAATGCACACAGTGTGCTATGCACTGTATTATGCTTTGCGTAAGGTATGTCATTTAATCTTCCAGTTCTCCTCATTTTATGAAGGAGGAAACTGAGGCACAGTTAACGAATTTGACCAAGGTTACGTAACTAGGATGTAACTGAAGCAAAATTAAAATTCAGGCAGCCTGATTTCAGAACTCTTCTTGTAACCACTTCGTTGAATGGCATACTATTTTGTTTAACAAACACAATGAAACCTTAGGTTTGCACTGTACCTCCTCCACAATTTGCCCCAACCTCCATTTTTTGTTTTTTCTTCTCTATTCTACTGAAGTCTAGCAAACCTTGCATTCCTAACATGTCCATTATATTGCCCTACCTCCATGCCTGTGCTTATGCTGTTCATTCTTTTGGAAGCACTCTTTATATCTACTTTATTACCAGGCAAAAACTTATTCATTCTTCAAAGACCTGCTTGGACAACACTTTGTCTATAAATTAATTCTGGATTCACTGTACAAATAATCATCTTCTTCTCCTTGAATTCGTATAGCCCTTTGTACTATTCTTATGGCCCTTGTCTCCAGCTCTGTATTTTATAGTTGTTCATGTATGTGTTTTTTTTTTTCCTCATCCAACATTATCATTTCCTGGAGGATGAGAAATATGTATAATTATTTTTAATATACTAAAATATTTAGTAAGCTCCATATACATAAATAACACAAAAACATTGAATGAATATCTCTTCTGTGTCATTTTTATTTATGATGGATACAATAAAATGATAGTAGAACTTTTAAAAATTATTTTTTAAGAATGGATTAATACATTTTTCTGTGTTGGTGATAGAGACAAGTCTTAATTTTTTTTTCTCTACCTGATAAAGCCTAATATTTACATATATAATCTTGCTAACCTACTAATCACTCCTCACAAGCTATGAGAATATGTATTTATTATTATCTATATTAATAATTAAAATGTATTAGATGTGAGACTGTGTAAGATAGTATTTGTCACCAGTGAAGATATTTTACAAGTTAAATTAGAATTATATGTGGTAGTTGGGAGAGTAGTGAAATATATCCAAGAAGGGATCATAAGCCTATGTGGTTGAGAATCTATAAAATGTGTCTGTGTGTGTTTTTACACACATAGATATATGTATTATATTTAATCTATTCTTTACTTCTGGGGCAATAAATTGAAGAAAGAACTATATTCCAAAAGGATACTCACCCAAAGGTCATTCATTCACTTATCAAATATTAAAAAATGATTTAGCATATCCAGTGATGTGTTATAGAGATAGAGATTCTGAAATAACAGAAGTCTGTCTGGAAGGTAATTTCCTTTAGATAAATACTTGAACTAATGGACAGTGAAGCAAAAGCTAAAAAAATGGCATTTTGGTGCATCAATAAAAGTTTCAAAGAAGATACTTTTTAAAGCTGGAATAAACTAATTTGGGTTTACTTTATTTTTCTTGTAACTTGAGCATATGATATAGTCAATGAAAAACAAATGCTAAAATGAAATAAGATTATGGTTCTAACTGCGCATGGTTATAAAGTAAATAATGGCATTCTTTTACACAGGGATGTGCTTTGTGGTTACCTTTTGTGTGCCAATATTGGTAATATCCCAAGGCTGGGAGAACTCGATGGTGAAATCACATCTACTTTAGTTGTGCAGCAGGGAAGAACATTAAACTGCAGGTAATCAATCATCTAACCATTCTATGAGAATATTAGTCATCTTACTTCTGAGGAATGCAGTTTAGGATTATTTCTGTTTTCAATTCATGTGCATGTTAGTAAGCCAAAATAGAATCTAGCCCATAGAAGTGAGTGAGTAAATCCTGACAGAAAAGAGATGAAAGAATAGAAGAATTAGGGTTCAGTTTACATTTAATTCTTATCAAGGAAAAATAATGTGAACTTCTGGGTAAAATTATTAGATTAAATATATGCATCTTCTTTTGTTCCCTTCTGAAATCCCACTAAAATGACACTATATGAACCTTTTTTAGAATTCATGCATTCACAGGGAGGCAGAGAAAGGGAGAGGAGACAATAGCAACAGAATTTTGGAATGTGGAAAGCAAATGGATATTTGACAAATGATTATTAAAATTAAGAAAGCTGAATTCCTAAGTTAGTCAATGGGAAAAACTGAGAACTAAGCCAATATTTACTGTCAGTTTCCGAAAAAGCTCAAAAATGAGCAGTATCACTTACTTCAGGAAGAAAGAGTAAAGGATTAAGGGGCAGGGAAGGGGCTAAAATAAAGAAGGTAGGTGAAAGTCTGTTATAGAAGCACTAACATTACTTCTCTGACTCAGCTAAAGAGAATATCGCTCACCCTCCTATGGAAGATTTGAGCTTTATATTCTGAAATAATAAATAGAAGGTTTCCAGACTGAAGGACAGCAGACAGTATTGATATATGTGTTGTATGGAAATGGGCCAGCCTCACTGATGTTCAGTCAGAAAGCCCGAGAATTTCCAAACATCTATCTGCTCCCCCACCTCGAATATGAGCAAATTATCACACATGTGAAGAAAGTCTCCAACATGAAAAAAAGAAAGAAAAACAACCAACTAGAAAAAAAACCCACCACCACCAATCAATATTTATGAGAGATAAGATAATTCTGTCATGAAACAAGAATAGAGTACTAATTTAAACAATGAAGAACATTCAGAGGAGGAAAAAATGCTGTCAGAAATTTAAAATATGATATCAGAAATTAAATCCAGAAGTTGAAATTATCTCCCAGAAAGTAAAGCAAAAGAGGGAAAGAAATGAACTTATGGAAAAGCTCTTCACATTAGAATAGAAATAATAAAGAACGAAAAAAATAGCAGGGAAGAAATCGCCATTGAGTAACTCAAGGGTATCGTCTAGAACTAATGGACTTGAATTTCCATATTGAGAGGCTAACCAAGTACCAGGTACAATGAGTGAAATTAGAGGCATATCTAAACATATCATTGTGAAATTTCAGAACCTTAGGACAAAGAAAAGAATCCCAAAGAGTCCGAAGAGTCCGAAGACAATGGAAAAAATGATTTCCAAACTAGAATTTTGTACACAGACAAAATATCAGTCAACGGTGAAGATAGAAAATATTAATTCCTTTAGATATGCAAGTTTCCCACAGATTTACTTCCTTGAACCCTTTCTAAGGAAGCTACTAGAAATTGCACTCCACCAAAATGAAGGAGTAGACTAAGAAAGAGATAAAAAATTTAGGAATCAAGATCCCCACCATGAGGGCTATCCGACAATGAATGGTGGGGGAAATCCAAGATGTAGAGCTCTGTGCCAGGTACATGGGACAGCCAGATCTGATAGGTGCAGGGGAAGGCCCACACGGAAACTGCAGGAAGATGAACTGATGTTCAGATATATCTTGAGTGGCGATTTTGACTTTTAAAAAAATAATTTATCTGTTGGTCTTTAAACTATATGCATGTATAATTTTGATATAAGTTAATAAATAAAAGAATGGAAATTTTGATATTAGCATTGACATGACACTATATGAATAAGTTGATTATGGATATACATTTTCAATTTCTATTCTGTTTATTTTTTATTTCTATATAACATGTAGACTTGCTGTATTGAATAGTGAAGTTATAATAGTTTAGCCTTTCTCAAATATAATTTGTAAATATAGCAGTCTTTTTGGTAAACGTAAACTAAAATCAGTTTCATTTTTGTTCAAAACAGGTTTGAAATCTTGAAACCTACTTACTTATCAAATCAAATACTAGTAATAATGATTTACTTGGCTTGTACATGATATCCAAGGTAAAATGAAAAAGCCATTTCAATTCAGGACCTTATATTTATGTTTAAATCCTAAAATATATCAATGTCTCTGAAAGGAATTAGATCAAAAGATTCAATTGCTTTCTTCATTTGCAGGTTGAAAATGCTTGCTATTGGTTTTTATTAGATAATATGTAGAAAATAGAGAAAGTGATAATGCCTACTTTTTAGTTTTTAAGCATATTCTCAAATTAATGTGAATTAATGGAATCCCATTTTCTTTTTGTTCTCAATTTATTTTTAGTGGTGGACATGTTAAGCTTGAAGAAGATGTAGATCTTGGCTATGTGGAAGATGGAACACCTTGTGGTCCCAAAATGATGTGCTTAGAACATAGGTGTCTTCCTGTGGCTTCTTTCAACTTTAGTACGTGCTTAAGCAATAAAGAAGGCACTGTTTGTTCAGGAAATGGAGTAAGTATTCAGTACCTCACCATGGGGAACTTACTCAGTTCTCTTATATCACAGAAATAGATATGGCCCTAAACTGCTTATTTCTGTAACAATTGAAAACATGCCTATCCGTGTGTCTAGTCAGCATGTAAAGTTATTTTATCATAGTCATTTGAATATTTCTGTGTATAATCTGGAGAAGCCTGGGAATAAGAAAAAAGTATAATCTTCCTAACGAAATTCCTTTATCTTTCCTGTTATGTTTGAATATGATCTCATATAATATAATGCCAGTTTTCTATAAGTGATCTAAGAAACAAATTTTAACAAACTATAATGGGATAAAAACAAGAGTAAAAAGAAGGGGCAGTGGCTACAGCATTTAACAACTGTATGGTCCAGGCACTAACCAGTTAGAGCAGATCGTAAATAACTGCCATAGCCATACCAGTGTGTAAGGAGAACTCCTAGAAATAAAAACAGAATAATTTAGGGAAATGTTTCTCATAGATGAATAGAAAGAACGGCATTGTTTAAAAGGCTAAATTCTATTCTTTCAGTCATATCTGATAGTGTAGGTTCTATAGAAATAAATGTATAGGTTAAATAAACATGCTCTATTAGTGATTATGGTTTTGTCATTTTTAGTTAGAAATTCCTATACTAACGAAACCTTTTCAGTTCTTTTTCTTTTGGCATATGCTAAGATTTTCTTCTTACCCTCATTCCAGATTCTTTGCTTGAACTGGTTGTGTTACTCAGTTGAGGCAAAGGATCCCTGTTCTGGAATTGTAAGCCTGCAATCCTGGTCATTCCAATATGCCAAGAATGTCCTTAGGGAAGTCTTACTAATTGTTACTCTTTGCCAAAGAAAAGGAATTCTTATAGCGCATGAGAACAGAGAAGGAATGAAGTGAATGGTTCTGCTTCTGTAAATGGGTCTGCTAATACTTCGTTCCTTAATAAGCAACAATATATTAGGGGGAGATAATTTTTGGGGGGACAGGGGTAATGAATAATGGAAATTTTTCTTGATCATTCATGCTAATGAGTAACCAAAGCTTATTCATCGAGAAATCTGAGTGTATAATAAAGAATCCAAACATAGTTAATTGTGTTAATTAGCGATTTGTTTAATGGATGAGTAAGAATGATAGACACAAGTAAATTAGGTGGCAAATAGTATCCAAGTCATTTACAATAATTATGCATAATACAGAAAAGTTATATCCTATGGATTTTTAACTTACAATAACTCAACTCTGTATATGTGACAAAAATTAAATGAAAAACAATAGATATTCTTATGTACTTTACATTGTATAGTTAAGAGTATGTACTTGGAATCAGACAGTCTGAGTCTGAATTCCAGCTCTACTTCCTACGAACTAGGTAGGATTGGGCAAATTACTTAGCCTCTTTGCGACAATTTCTCTGTAAAGCGAGAATAATAATATTGCTTGCTTTACAGGATTATTGTGAGGAATCAGTGAGTTAATACATGTAACTTATATGTGATACTTAAAACAATGTCTGTGACATAGTGAGTGTTCAATAAATGTTAGCTCTGACTCTATTAGTCATGATCACTGTGCACTTGTCACTATGTCACTGGTGCTAGTGTGTGATATGGAAACTGATAGTGAATTTACCTGGTTAAGGTCTGTTGATAAGATAGTGGTGAAATGGGGACTAAAACCTATGCCTTTTGACTTTAAGCCTAAACTTTTTTCTTCCTGCATATTTGTTAATTCACAGAACTGTGTTCATGTGAATTAATTTGAGATCTGAAATTTATTAATTATATTTTAAAGTTATATTTAGATGTTGATGTATGCCATCTTCTGGCAAATTAGATCAGACAAAATACAGAAATCCATCCAGTGAAAACCTGTTTCTTAAAGAACTTCTCTGATCTTAACCTAACAAGTCTCTCTAAATCTCCATTCCATTTAAAGCTGTTTTGAATGATAAGATCTAGGTATAGATTCTGGGATATATAAATGAAGACAGATTATTGTCTGATAAGTTTTAAAACTTGGTGCCATTTTTATGTGAATTTTTTTCCTGCTCTTTGTTTGAGGGAGTTGTCAGTTTCCATGACCCTGAAGTCACTAATCTCTGTAGCTTGGGTTGAGGTGCCAAGGTTATAGCTTTGTGAAACTTTCTTTCACATCACAGCAAAGGTTTAGGCCTCTCTGCTTCATCCGATTTCTCTTTATTGCATCTGCTTTCTAAAAGATGAATAAAATTTTATTATTAAGATCCCTTCTTTGGAAGAAAGAAATCTTTGTATTGGATAATCGTCAAATGATTGTACTTCTGCTCAGTTTTTTAAATCTCCCTGTTATAAAATCTAAGTCACTGAAATTCAAAACAATTTCATTTTTTTTAGACTTATAAGTTCATGCCTCTGTTAAAATTTATTATCCCTTTGAGTCAGCCATCGATCTCTAGAAAATATTTTTTTAGACACTTTAATAAGAAATAAGTAATTAGCATTAGGAAAAAAAGTACCAATAATTTTTCAGTACCATCAAATTCTAGGCATATAATAATTAGAAATTAATGCTTATTTTTTCATGCCTCTGTATCAGAGAGTTGACTTTTACTCTAGCTTGATTTCGGATTTCAGGTTTGTAGTAATGAGCTGAGGTGTGTGTGTAATAGACACTGGATCGGTGCAGACTGCAGCACTTACTTCCCTCACAACGATGATGCAAAGACTGGTATAACTCTGTCTGGCAATGGTAAGTACTTAATTTGGTATCATTTCGTAGCCTTTATACACAAGGAAAGAGAAAACTACCCTTCAGACAGTTTCATTTGGATTATTTTTGTAACGCAAATATAAGTTAAAGCCACATAATAATGAATTGCAGTATATGACTGGGGTCCACATTATGAAACTGATTGTTTCCATTAAATTATAATGATATGTAATGTTGAGTCTACTGATTTAGTGTTATCTTGTCCTACATCAGAGTGAGATTTTTCAAGTATTGTACTTGTTTGCAGCCAACAACAAACTCTAGCATTTCTTTTAAGAATGTAGTCACTTTTTAACTCTGAATTTAAAGAAAAAATTTTATATATCGGGACTGAATAAATAATAAAAATTGAAGAATTGATTTTTAAATATTTCATTGACTTTAATATTCTTTATCATAGCATCTCATTTGTATTTAACCTCAGTTCTGTAACCTGAACTGTAGGTAATTCTAGAAGTAGGAAATTTGGCCAACATGCCTGGAAGGGATTTCAGGACATGAGTGAGAAACAACAGGGGCAGCTCTAAAAGCTAGAGAGGTCCAAACTGAGAAGTAGAAATTAAATGCAGATAGTCGTAAGGACACAGACCTTGGGGGTAAATGTCCCCTTTGAAACTATTTTACCATTTCGTTATTGAGTATTCTTTCTCATTAAATAATGTTCAAATCCTAAAGCCCGTCACTTCCAAAGGATGAGAAAATCTTAGCTAATATCACTTTAATAAAGAAAGTCACAGAATGATTAAGATTTTGTCATGTTCGGTCTTAGCAGTGGTAGTCTGGAGCTTGTTCCTGCAGTTAATGCAGAGACGAGGATATTCAGGTCCATGAATTTAAGTGACTTGTTAAAAGTCATACCATTAATTAGAAATAATCAAGACTAGCACCCAAGTTTTTTGATTCCTGTTAAATCCCCAGAAGAAAAGGAAGGGGAGACAGACATGCTGGGTCTTAGAGTATGAAAATCCTAATGATCCAGGGGTCCCCTGGCATCAGCATCCACCAGGACCTGGGCAGGGTGGAGTCTACCAGTCTCTTCAGATGCACTAGTCCTGAAGTCTAACCTGACTATGGAGGGCTCCTAGGCAGAGAGGCCACCTCTTTAGTCATAGGGAATTGGAATTTGCACCAGTTGCCCGTAATTACAGATCTTTGAAGGATGCCTCAGGAGTGCAGCAGATAAGGAGAGAGAGAGCTGAGGTGCTCTGGGTGAAACAGACCGGGTGATTTAAACATGTGGTGTAAGTCATTATCACCAAAACAAGTCTCCTGGGATCAGAGCCAGGCCTCCAATCTACCTTTTCTGCTCTTGGGCCCTCACTTGGGCTTGTTGACCAAGACTTCGACTCACTGGGCCACTTTCACTGCCAAGATGCCCTTAAAGATTGCATCTCAGCCTGCCTGACGGGATGCTGACACACAATGCTATTACTGAGTTCTGAGCTTCAGCCCTGCCCTGGCCCTCTGCCAGTCTGATGCTGCGTGGCTCTCATGCTTCACCAGTACCAATCTCCAGCTCACCTTCCTCTCTCTTTTCCTTTGGTTTTTCTTTTCTAGAATGTGCCATGGTCATCATTGCCAAAATTGGGAAGTACAAGCCCCGTGCTTGTAACATCCATACCACTTGAGCACTGGTTATATAAACATGTAGACGTGTTTTCTCCCATAAGAAGCTTATCTTTACATTGAGAGACAAAATATCTCACACACACACACACACACACACACACACACACACACACACACACACCCCTGAGAGCAATAAGGACCTTGCATTTGTTATCAGAATGTAGTGATATGAAAAATGACATTTCTAGAATTTTTGAGGAAGAGGTCAGGGTCAAAAGGGATATGGATTTCTAAGTATTCCTCCCTAACAGGTGCTATGCCATGTAGCCCCTCTTCTTTATTCTTTCTTTTAGTTCGATGTCCTCATCATATTTTCCATAAAAGTACGTGGAAAATACAATAATGCAAAATACACTTGGAAAAGAATTAAAAGAGAACATACACAAATAATTTAAAAAAAAAACCAATTGATTCCCATTGATAAATTATGGTTGATTTTTCTTCCCTTTAAAAAATACGCACTTTAAAAAATATTTTTAAATAATGTTGTTAGTGTGATGATTACAGATCTGGAGAATAAAGTTCCTGAAAGATTTTTATATCAAAATTTCAATTGTATATACTGATCTTCATTGTTTTTTCCCCCACAGGTGTTGCTGGTACCAATATCATAATAGGCATAATTGCTGGCACCATTTTAGTGCTGGCCCTCATATTAGGAATAACTGCATGGGGTTATAAGTAAGTGAAACATCTCAGTATTTTTACTGTCAAAATATACTTTTAAACATTTTGTTTAAATGAATTAAACATCTGGGAAGTTTTTTATCATTGGATAAATATACTTGCAATGAAAATCAGTCTGGCTTTACACTCAGTTGGTGATTGTGCTTAGCATGATTAAAGGTAATGATAATTTATCATTTTTTTAGATCTTGAGATACCTCCTGTTTATTCAAAAAATACTGAATATTGTCTTAAAACCATTGAAGTAAAATCAATCAAAATTGTGTCTTTTACAGAGGTTATGTTTGTTTGCTCTTTAGTGACACAGGTCTTCCCTTGACTTAAACTCATACCCAGAAAGCTAGGCAAGATAGTCAGACAGCATAGAGCTTTAATAAGAGTCACATCAACAAGAACAGCAGCGGGAGATCTGTTGCTGAGTGCTTGCTATGTCCGTGCATCGTGCTAAGGGCAAAACCTCTTTATCTTCACAACATGTGTGGAGGCACTGTTTAAAAACTATGTGGGTGTTTTTGTGTGAAGAAAAGGCTGTTCAGAAATGTTCGTTAAAATTAAAATTCAATTTTTAAGTTAAAGCTTTTAAAAGTCTTATTCTTCTTAAGCTTCAAAGTTCAGCTGACAATTTTTTGGTTCTATTTATAAATTTTAAAAAGTTATGATATATAACTTTTGGAAATTAGATCTCCTTGAGCATTTAGCTAAGTAAATGATTTCAAACATTCCAAACATAAGATTAATATGTTCCATTTCCCTAAGTATTTCAATCTTATAACATGAAAAATTTATTTATATTCAAATAACTTATTTGATTTTAATAAATTAAAACTTAATCATGGCAAACCTTAAATTCTCTTTAATATTTCAACTTAAAAATCAAAATTCTGCTGATCTCTGATGATATTTCAAGTCCCTGGGCCTAGAATGTTTCTCCATTTGGGAGTCCTGTAACTTTTGCTAAGCATTCTAGGCTTGACCTCACTTTATAGCATTTTCCCCCTCACATAGATCAAACTTAGTTCACTAAAAGACTTGGGAATTAGAATATTTCATACTTTAAAATTACCCCAAATCTTTTAATAGACTAGGCACTATGTAATTGTATGCTATTATTAATATCACCTGACATGGTCTTAAACCAATTGAATCAATGGAAACACCTTTAAAAGGTGAGGTCAAACCCTGAGTTTCGTTGCCTGAAGAGAGCAGTTAGTTTGTGTGCTACAAGCATTAAAATACAGAAAGACATTTGAGAAAGGCTATATTAACAAATAGCATGGATAGCATAGTAAAGTTTAGCATAGCATAGTTAATATAGCATAGCATAGCGAAGGAGAGCATAGCATAATAGTAATGGTTTGCCCTGATTAAATGAGTATGTAGCCCTGTACCATCTCATAGAAGATGCTCAGTACCTATGGGCTTCTTTGATCTGCAGGTCATTAGATATATTGTATTCTTATATTTGCCCAGGCTGATTTCAGCATAACATTTGGAGTTATAAAATTATATGTCTGAAAAGAATGCTTTTCTGTATAGTTATTGTTTGATCTCCCCTCACACCTCAGGTGAATTAGCCCCCTCTTGGAGCTGCACAATATCCTTGACTTCTGTGATACAATACTTAGGTAGTAATTGTCTTCACAAGCATTGTTGTTTTGAAGTAAGTGGTTTCACTTGGTCATGTGAAAAGGGAAAGCAAAATTGTTAGTTCTGTGTTGTGTGATTTTTCTGCCACCTACTGATACAAATTGTTATTTCATTTTTATAGTCTTGGAAAAGATTACCTTTTGGAAAATATAAAACCTAAATATCTCCTATTACTAATAAAATGACCTGTGTCCATGTTTTAATGATTTTAATTAAAAATTCTTCTTTCTGTATATCATTTCTTATTTTTATGAAATTCTTTTGAGGTGTCATTGCTTTTTCTTTATTTCTGAACATATATATTTTTCAGATTCATTAAGGAAAAAGACAAATCATGTTCATTCTGCAGCATCCTCTTCGTAAATAATTTGAACCTAAATGATGTAGTTTTAGTGCTACTAAACTTATTCAGAATATGTTTAAAAATAGAATGAGAATGTAGAAAATTTTAATACAGGAATTAAATTCATGAATATGATGTTTCATATTCTATTTAAAATTCAAGAATTAGATTTAGAAACAGAACTCATTTTCTCATTAATCCTTCCAATTAAACTTTCTACCCCTTCTCTAAGCCGAATAGAAAATGAAGAATACTCATTAGGAACAGGTGGATTGCTCAGGTAATCAGATTGAGAGAATAAAAAGCAAAATGTGTTGAATAGAAAGATTCTGGGCTTATTTCCCCCTCCATCTGATGATTTCAGGAATGAAAAATAATGAGTAACTAATTAGCACATTTACCCTCATGAGCTTGTTATTAAACAAGATACTTATTGGGTGCTCAGAATAGATAGATAAAGATGCTACAGATTCGTGTGGAACTTGATTTTGATCTTGGAGGAAGGAGCCCACTACTCAGTTGCTTGGCCTTTCTAACACGTCTTCAAAATATTAACATTTTCTTAAATTTAATTTAGAAAGTTAAAAATGAAATCTTTTGAGTTATACATAAAAGTCATTGGTGCCTCACTACCATACCCTCTAGAATACATTTTTAAGATTGGTTTATTTTAAAACTCATGTAATTTTATTTTAGTATATGGCCCAATAAAAAACAGAGACCAAACTTTGAACAAAGTATTGCTAAACATTAAGCTTGTAAGTAGTAATAACTTAGGAGGTCCATAATAGCTGTGAATTAACTCACTCTAATTTATCATAAGTGATGAAATAAAATGTTCTAGTGTTCATTTATGTTCTTCTGTTTTAAATTCTTAGGAAAAGCTTTAGATTAAGGTATATACTGTAACTAAAAAGGAATAAATTATGATTTTTATTTTTATGAAAACAGGTAATTTATATAAGTAACTTGATTACTTAAATTTATTATTTAAATCAATATACATATCTGAAAACCTGTATTCGAAATAGGATTGGCTTTAAAACATTGTTAAATATTTAATATGATATAATTGATATTGAGAAAAGTTACTCTTTAATAATAGAATTTTTTATGCTTTAGAAATATTTGAAAATATTGTCATTAACCCTTTGGTGTCACTTCTCCTAAAGATAAGTAAAATTTGTGTTTGTGTGACTATTTGTATTCCCCATTTTAATTCTGCAATTCAGAACCCTCTAGTGGAGACTTTTCAATAAATCCTAGTGCTTTTATATATAGTGCTTTCTTAATATACTTTCATAGGTAACTAATTCTTTTTCTTCCCCCCTCTCGTCTTATCCATGAAAAGAAACTATCGAGAACAGAGGTATGTGATGAGAATAATCTGAACATGTAACTGAAAGGTTTAAATCTTATTAGCATCTTTGGAATTTATACATGCAATTATAAATCAAGTTTACTTTGTTTTTATGCTGTAGCGATTATAAACTAATCTTAATTTTTTTTATGACCTCAAAATGATCATTTTAATAGTGGTGCTGTGGAATTTATTAATTTAAAACATATCTATCATTATTTAATTTTAATGGTTCTTTCATCCAACAATACTACAATTAATAAAAGTTCTTATTTGTGTTACTTTTATGGTACTATATTTGGAAATTAATTTTTTTCCATCTAAAACAAACTTCCTCTGTTGAGGTGTCACCTTTGTTTACATTAGTTAGCTTCCCTTCATGTTTATAACACTCTTATTGCCTAATACTTTCTGAGGGGATTTATTTTTTATTTGTTACTGTTGTCATGTCAGTAACTTTCATTTGTAAGTGATAAAATTTTATGGGCACAGGTCAAGAGAACGTCCTGGCACTTGATGAGCCTGTTTAATCTCTGCATAAGGAAATATTTTTTTACCGATTGGGTAATTGCACAGGTAGTTAAAGAAATAATTTGCATAGTTGGAATCTTTGATTGTTTACTATACTTTTTTTTTAAACAAAAAGCCCATAAAGTGAGGCACCCCTTTCATCATAGCCTTAAAATCTATGTGTAAGCAACAGTGTCAAAAGGGATACAACTCATTTATGTAGTTCTGTAAGAATTGCCTGTTTTTAAATAAATCTAAATTAGTCCGTATTGAGGTACACCCTTTACTTTTCACATTCACAAAATTACTAATGATATTAGCTATTGATACAAAAAAATTTTAAATATCCTAGAAATTGATAATTCAGACCAGGTCTTGTATATCATATAGTTTTGTACTCGAGATATCTTTGCAGATTCCTACTTATTTAACTTTTCCTACTGTTTTATTAAATGCCTGTGGCAGATTAGGAATAAGATGTAATAAACCTGGTGAGACTTTTTCAAGCCCCAACTACAGCTTTCAATTTTTCACAAATTAAAATTGTAAACTTTTCTCTTCCCTTCCACATTGTAATATAAAATTCCAATAAGGCTTTGGTCATAAGTGTCTACAGAATCTCTGTAAATAAGTGATGCTCACAGGGTACCACCTGAGATCCTGGTCAGTTAACATAGATATTAGGAAATATTGACCTTGCCCTGGAATAACTAACTCATTAATGGAACAACTAAAACTAAGGCAAAATTAATTGAAATTTAAAACAACTAGATTTTTTTGTGCCATGATTTGAACTCTTGTATCTTAAAACACTGGAGAAGAGCTGGAGTCTTTTAAGTTTTCTGTTGAGTAGAAGCTGATCAGTCATTTCAGAAATCTAAGTTTGGTGGCTTTCTTGAGTGAAAAGTAGAATTAGGCTAGTAAGATAAACATTGATGATTCAGCTCCATTTCCATAGGAGCTAAGGCTATAATGTAATTTAATATTGCTGACTATATAAAAAGGAAAGTAAAATATCACAAATAGGTAACACAAGCAAAACTAAAACAGTACTCTAAGACATGTTCTCACCAGGGATACTATCCAGAATAAAGGAATTGTCTACACTACAAAAAAATGACTGCTATGTAAAACTGTACCAATTTCCTATTCTAATTCAATGTATGGATAGGTTTAGGTAAGAAAAATTTTACATTAAGACTCTCCTATATGTACCTTATATAATTTCTTGCCTCCTAGTATTACTGAATCATTTCATCAATCTGACTACTCTTTTGGAATTTAGTTCATATTTTGAGAGTTGCTACATCTTCAGCAAACATTTAGTTTATATATTTTGATTTATTTTAACACAACCTGTGTTTATTTTTGTCCTTGTCCATAGCTAATAAATCTTAGGTCCGTACAATAATTCTCACAAAGGAGAAGAAACAAAGAATGGACTTTAGATCAAGAAGTTGTGATTGTATAAAAAGGATTTTCCTTTTTGAGAATATGTGTTAGTGTTTATAGAGAAGATGGTAAGGCTAACAGACCAAAGCATGCATTAAGAAATTTACAATTTTGTAAAAATATCTGCAGATATTCAAATAAAGATGTGCCCAGTTTCAAAGAATGCCAGAAAGCAGAAATAAGAATTTTGAGTTGTCCTTGCCTTTAAATTAGGTTTTTCTTTGAGGTTCCATAATGGGAGAACCAAGCGACAAGGAATCAGAAATCCATTTGCTCAGATGTGGTCTTGGGAAATCATTTAAACTTTCCTCAACTCTAAAATCAGATAAACTTCATAATCTGGAAAGCATTATTGTAAAGGAAGCGATCAGTATGTAGTCTCTGAAGACTTTGTGTTTCTCTGATCTTTAAATGAAAGGTGGAGATGGTTGTTCTCAAAAAGGAAGGCAGCATTCATTGACATAAGCAGGGCCCACACGTACTGGTTGAGCTAGCAAAAGAGTTGATGAACATAAAGGTTGGCTTTGACACTAAATGTAAGACCATATTAAATAGGTAGCCAGTTATCAGATCCATATTAATAATGTAACGGCTCAGAAATGCCAAATTGGACATAACTTTCAAATTATTGGAGAGGTCAGACAAGTGCTTCTGTGAAAGAACCTGATAACCTTGTCAACTTTTCCTCTGGAAAACGTGTCCTCAGGGTTTTCATTATATGAAGGAATGGGTAATAGGCTTAATTGCAGGTCTGACGAAAAGATAAGGAACAAACCCATTTTTTTCTTTTTGTTTACAAATTGCTTAATGAAAAATAAAAGCCTCATCCTGGGGCAGGTGGAGGCGGAACCTCATATATGAGTGATAGCACTTTACGTCCATCTGCCAGTGTCATATTGTGAAGGGTAGGACCATGGGACTGAGGAGCCATGGATAATTCTTATACATCATGTAGTTAGGATGGCTGTTGATCTTTTTCTTTAAAATATCCAGGAAAGAAGATCTCCATAATATTTTCAGTTGATTCCATTGTTTATATTTTAGCATAATTGCTTTTGGACTTGGCAGCTGTATACTTTATAACAAGAATTATAAATTTGAATTTTAGTTTTCAAGCAGGTTTGCAAATAATAGAATAAGAAAACGTTAATTGAATTTGCATTTATAAAACACCTATATTCAGCTGAAATATTCTCTTCCTTTATCTGAAATGAACACACATTATTATGATCAATGTGAAATAGAATAAACAGATCATATCTTACTGATCTATACCTTAAGCAGAAATCCTCTTCCCCATTTCTTTTCTCTCTCACCTGTTTTAGCCACTTTATTTTCTCTTGTGAACCTCCCTCCTTTTTTTTTTTTCAAACTTTCTTTAGTTTGTTTTTATATTATTTCAGTGATAGTCATACATCTGTCAGTGCGACTTGGTACACATTACACAATATTTCCTTAAAAAGTAAAGTAACAATTTCAATTATAGACAGTCCAGATACTTACGAGGCACTGGAGAAATACCTCTTTCAGCATTAAGGTTAAGACTTAATTTTTTTCATTATATTCTCATTTTGAATATGTGCAAAGATTATTGTTACACATTGCGATTCATTGGACCCTTGTAGGAAAGATCATACTTCTCTCATAACAGGGATCCTTTGTGAGAAAGAAGAATTTAATTAAATAAATTTTGGTCATTATTTAAAAATTCATGTACATGTCTAAGATATTTACATGTAATATGGGAAATATGAGGTAATTTTCCCATTATAAAACTTAGCACAGGTCAGGACACCTCATGTGGTAGTCATAGTCACTTCTAGATTCCAGAATTCTATGGAATCAGCAAAGTTGAAGAAGAAAGCCATAAAGACTAGAAAATTAAATTCAGCTTTAAAATTCAGCTTTTAAAGAGATCGTTTACTTGGTCATTTATGATTTTTTATAACAAATGATGAAATGTTATTTTTTGATCATGGGGACCTGATATTGTCTATCTCCACTAAAGGTTAAACAAGAAGAAATAGGTTTGTTCTAATATGTAATATTGAAAAAAGGGTAAATTTCTGGTTGGTGAAAGATGTTAAATATTATTCTTGAGATCTTTAACAAAGTGAATAATCATTAAGATTTTGCATTTACAATATGCAGAAAGTTACAGTGTATTCTTTGTAGAATTTTAAAGAGAATGCAGAGAAGTTTCTGTATTTTGGAGACTTCACAATCTAGGTGAGAATCAAATCTTCCTGGCATGTTAAAAACAGGGCTGTGTCCCAGAAAGTCGTTGACCTTAAACTCCCTTCCAAGCCTCTCACTGAAGCCTACAGTTTATGATATGTATAGCATTTAAGATGTTTGCACACGCGTAAAAGATGACAACATATTACAGAGCAATGAAGTTGAAGAAGTGGTAAACATGCTCAGTTGCGAAAAAATACTGAGTGTTGTCTATTGTGAGAGGTGGTCCATATAAGCCTGTGCTGTCAGCTAAGTGAGGCCTTGGTGAATGCCTGAATGCCAGAACCACGTAAGAAGAAGGTAATTTGGGGGAACTGATTAGTGGGAAAAGTCAAGCGTAGTTGGAACTTATCTTTAATTTAAATTTAGCAGGCACTTCTCATCAGCTCAGAAAGCTTTCATTAAAAGTAATAGTGACAAAAATGATTTGTTACCATAAAGATTATTGTTGGAAATGTGATGTTGATGGGATATCCTCTGGCATTCTTTTATAAATATGAGTTTGATACAAAACAGAAGTTTCCTCCTTGAGGCAACATAGACAACTCTGATTTTACTGAGAGCATTTTTCAAGCATTGATAGACTAATTGATAGGCAAGCCAGAAAATAATGATTGCAGAGATTAAAGCTCTCTTGCATAAAAAGATCATTTGTCCTGTTTTATTAACATTATAAATATGGGGGAATTGTTTTATTTTTTCTATAGAATTAATGTTTTTGTAATGTACCAGGAAAAAGAAAGATTAAAATTATGAGCTGAAGTCACTTAAGAATTAAAAATATTTTGAAGGAATATGTATCAACATACAAATCTAATGAGAAATTCAACTTTCTTTAAAGGGGAAGAGTAGATTTAATCATACAAATTAATATATGTGCTTTATATCAGTTGAAAAATCTTTAGATTTGTGTAGAGATGTGAATATATAGGATTGAAATAATATGAGAAAGGGTATTTGGTCATTTAGAAGAATGAATGGCCAAATGTTTTGAACATTTAAAACAGTATGGTAAACTATATAAGGAAACAAACATTTGAAAGTGGCATTTTTGGGATAGACTTTAGTGTCAGCAAGTAACCATGACTAGCATGGTAACTAAAGAAAAACCAGATGGGAAAAGGAGTTAGCAAATGTGTATCTATTTAAGTACAGCTCTGTTTAAAATTCTCCATCCAACACTAGTTTATGGCACCTCCGACCATAGTACTGAATGAGACTGAATCAAATTTGAGATTCAATTGTCTGCGTGGGGGCCACGTATTGGCAAATGACCAGATTAGCTACTGAGGAAGGAGAGCTGACTAGGTGGTTTGATCTAAAGTTTTCTACCCTATTCTTTAAGAGAAGTAATAAAAATCTGTTCCACTTTTAGTTAATTCAAAATCAGAGTGAGTGAAGTCAGTAATAGGGCACATTAAATAAATTTTCCCTTGTTGAACCCCTCTACAGTGGAGATAGAGAACCAAGGTCACCCACCAAACTACCTATAAATATCCTTCTAGAGTCTCAACAAGAATTCGGTTATTTTTTTTAACTCTTCCTTCCTTTTGCTAAATTATCTTCCTTTACATATTCTACTGTGCAGTTAGAGAATTATATATTTTTGACTCACCTTCGAATCTTTTTCAGTTTCTTCATATTTCTGTTAAATGAACATTGAGGTTCCAAATTGAGCAAAGAACTCTGATAAGAATTTATTTGGATTAAATTATAGAACATAGCTTAGAAATTGGTCAGTTATTTTAAAGCCAAAGTTACATTATAGAATGTTTAGAAATCATGAATAGTTTATTCACCATGGTGAAAAAAACTATGCCTTTTCTGGGCAAGGACTGTCTGCCCCAGTATGTCTTCTTTGGCACTATTTTTTTTTTTTTTTTTAAGACAAAACTGTAGTTAACATCTCCAAGTATAAAGAAGTTACAATGAAAAACCTCATTGACTATATTTTTCCCTTGAAGCAAGGTTTTATCCATCTAGACTGAATAGACTTCAGTGATTGCATTTCTGATCTACAGTTAGAATGAATTTAACTTGTCACATTTATTAATAATCTTACGTGTTGTTATAGGTTTGATTCATGTAGATCATTATCCCTACCTCTTTTTTCCTAAAATAATATTTGTATATGTCTGTGTTCATGTGTGTGTCTTGTTTTCTGACTCTGAAATGTTTATTATGCCTTAGACAGTTACCCCAGGGAGATTATGTAAAAAAGCCTGGAGATGGTGACTCTTTTTATAGCGACATTCCTCCTGGAGTCAGCACAAACTCAGCATCTAGTTCTAAGAAGAGGTCTGCTTTTCTGTCGCATTTTCAGATTTCTACCTGTTCCATCACACATTATTCCATTAGTCAGAACATTTCATTATTTTGCAGCAGGTTTGATTACTTCTTCCTTCTTTCTTGAATGTTAAAAAATGGTATCCTTTGTTCTTTGATTACTCTGCTTCAAAATGCCATATGCTCAGAACCACTTGTTTAGCAAATCAGGCCAGAAATCCAAACAAAATAAAACTAAACAAATAATAACTTTAAATATATACAGAAACCCTAGGGTTTTTCAGTCTTGCTCTTATATGGCTTAAGAAACTATATATAGTATTTTAATATTTTTTAAATGGTGAGCTTTATGTCATGTTTGGTAGTCAAAGAAAAAGGTTACTGTCATGCTTCAATAAAAGCATTTGTTAAAATAAATTTTTTAATATGAATGCTGCGTTGACTATTTTTTAATTTTAAATATATCAAAGCTAAGCTTGCTGTGAAAAAAGATCGCTTCTCTGTGAATCATATTTGAATATTATGATTTTGCCTTTTATTCCTGGAATGATTATTTCTAGACTTTGTTACTTAGAGCTTGATTGCCAAATTAATTTAAGTATATATACTGTTTGTGAATCTTATAATAGTATCGGTGGGGTTAATATATTTATGTCTTAAACTTTGATGCTGTAGTCTTGCCCCAGGATCTTAAGGTGTATAAGACCATTTAAAATTCTGCATGCTTTATACTTGCTTGACGAAATAAACTGATAGAAGATATAAATAGTTGGAATGGTTTAGGAAATGAGACCTACATTCACATTGAAGGAAGTTAAAATATTCCTATGGAACAGTTTCTTTAAAATTGTTGGGAAGGGGTAATGTATAGAAAAAATAGATTTGATAGCCCCGTGCATTACTTTGGGCACAGTATGTACTTTGTAGATTAAAAGGAAAATTGCTAGTTTATTGAGAAGAAACATGATTTTTTTTTTCTGGAGTTCTAAACAGAGTGAATTATCTGTAAAAATTCTATAGTGGATCTCACTCTATAAATAATCAGGAAGGATGATAGAAGGAATTAGTGAGATCTGTGAACTCTGCTTTTATGTAAGTGTCTCAAGCATGAAGGAGTGTTTTTACTCAGATAACATAGCTTAAAGCAAAAGTAAAATTATTAGTTTTTGCATAAGGAGTACAATTCAAAGGAAGACTGTTTCAAAAATTTTAGTTTTTTGATTTATTGGGGGCTTTTTGGCCAAGAGAATAAAATTTACTTAAATTCTTTCAGCATATAAATATTTTCTTGGTCAAATAATTTCAAATTAAATATCATGGTTAAGAAGTGGAGAAATCAGTGGATTCCAGGAAAATTTCTGTTGTCCTTTTGTACAAAATAGGAATCATTCTGTATTTAGCAAAGGATGTTCAAAAAGTTTTAATATATATATTAAATTAATATATAATTATGCTGAGTTTCATTTAGTTTCATTCATCAGTAGAAGTTTCCTTTTAAAACCGTCATTATTAGCAGTTAACTGGGATGATACATGGAAAAGATTTTAAGCATAGTGCTATTTTTTAAAATACCTCAAGAAGAGCTTAAAATATTGATTTGAATAATATCCAGATTTTAGCAAGATCTCAATGAGTTATGACTTTTAAGCAGTTAAAAATGGTATCAAATTATGTGACTCCTAAGTTTATATAGTTGTTAAAATACTTTTCTTGTGTGGTACAAGGTAGGTATGTAAATTTCACTTCTTGTAGATAATTCACTGTAAGATGGCAGGACACAAATAGCAGAGGGCTTAATGGTACATGGGCTTTGTGAGTGACACTTCCATGATAAACATCATACAGTTCAGTTATTGGACAGTTAACTAACAGTACTACATTTGGGGAGGACTTATTTGTGGGAAAAATGCCTATTCTCAGAAAATAATTTTATTGTTTAAGAAAACCTTAATATTATTCTGATAAAGGTTTGCAAGTTTCAATAGAGGAAATCTTAATGAAACCTCTCAGAAGTCTGTGTTCTCATAATATTTGAATGGAAACCATTGCTTTACAATTAAGAAACATCTATGGTGGGACCCCATTATAACTCTACTGCTTGGGTTATATACCTGAAGTATGTAGTGAATTTGCTATAAGAAGTTGTGTTTCGGGGAGTGTAATTGGCTTGTGCTGTATCCTGATACTTTTCAATTTTAACTATTGTAATGGGGTGCCACTGTATTTGACTTTTCTTAAATTGAATGTTGCGTAATTCTGCCTTCTTCACGAAGACTTTCATGTTCTCTTCATTCTTTCATTTCAGATTTTTTTCTTTCTTGATTTATTTAACACACAGCAATGCTTAGAAATTTTGCTTACTGATTTCAAAACATTCATTTGATTATATTTTTGAACAATATATATACATTTTCAATTTCAGGTCTAATGGACTCTCTCATTCTTGGAGTGAAAGGATCCCAGACACAAAACATATTTCAGACATCTGTGAAAATGGGAGACCTCGAAGTAACTCCTGGCAAGGTATAAGGTGGCATTCTGAATCCAACTGTTCACAGAACCCAAGTTCTATATTTTATGGTCCCTGGTTCTAAGCATTTGTTCTTCTCTGTAAGCTCTTTAGCTCTTCTTCTCCCAATAGAGAAGAGGGCACTTATTATGAGCCAATTCTTTTTTCTTGGATGGGGAATGATGGGATTTGATAGCACCAGTGTGCTAGACACAGTGAGAAGGCCGTACAGAGCTATAAAGCCCTGTGTTCTGGGTTGTGAATTACATCCACTTGAAATACCATGTTGTTAAATATATGGCGATTATTTATTTATATTCAAATCTAGCTATAAACCATCTTTTTCAGGTAACCTGGGAGGCAACAGAAAGAAAATCAGAGGCAAAAGATTTAGACCTCGGTCTAATTCAACTGAGTAAGTCTGAACCTCTAATGGAAAAAGGCATTTCTGAGGTCCCGTGCAGTTTAGTGAAACGTTAATTAACTGGATCGTCAAAGAACTATAAACCATGCCTCAGGTCTTGGTTGTGTCTTTTTAATTTTTTTTTTCTTTTTTTTTGCAGTTTTAAAATTAACCATGGCTTTTCTCTTTTACGTAGGCATCTCCGCAACTGTGCCCGTACCAATAATCACTGATAGTGGGGGTCTCACCCTCCCCGCAGGCTTTTTCCTCCAGTAACCTGCCATTGTGGTGTCTTGGTTCCGTTTGAAGGGAATTTTGATAACATTCCTTTCTTCTCATCACCGGGGGTCCAGCCATTTCAGAGGGGTCACCCTTCCTCTCCCCAATACTCTCACAGCCTAGAAGCATCGGGGGGAACCCCCACCGTACTGGAGCATGCTCCTGCTCACAGTGTGGAACCACCGCTCTGGGGGCCTCATGGCTGTAATCTAAGCATTCTCTCAGACTAATGGAGTTAGTTTCTCTTTTAGATTTTCCTTCTGAGGACATTTTTAAAAGGGCATTTACCTGAACTTGCTCTTTAACGGAATCATTGTCACTAAATGCGAAACACTCCATTTTGAATGATAGCCACACATTTTCTTTTAACTGGGAATGGGGTCTGAAGTTACATTTAAGTTTATAATACAATGAGGTGAACACCCCATGTTTGTTTGTTTCTCCACTTAATGAAGTACAAGCGAAACCAAGCTTCCTTAAACCTTTATCTCTCATCATGGAATAAAACACACCCTTGCTATCCTTTTGGACTTTGCCACCTGGTTTTAATTAATCACACTTTTTTGACCCTAAATTTTTATCTAAATTTTTTTTTTTTTTTTTTTTTTTTTTTACTGATATCTCACTGCAGTGCTAGTTATTATTCCCAGGATCTCTATTGCTTCTTTATGCCTTAATTCTTAAAAATTCTGAATAGCAGGTATTTGTTAACTGCTTGTCAGAAACTTATGTTAGCTTCTCCGTCATATACCTGCCTTTTT